GGGCCCGGCCCCGAGCGCGACTACAGCCCCTACTACCGGACCATCGAGGAGCTGCGCAGCAAGGTGGGTGCTGTGAAAATCAAAGTCCTCATTAAAGTCACTTTTTAATAGATTAAATGGCAAGTGATTGGTCTGAGATGGGAAAACAGAGTGCCTGGAAATAAGTACTGAGCACTCCGCAGTCGGGGACACGCTGTGGCCTTGGCACTGCTTGCTGCTGAAGATGACACGCAGTGATGCTAAAGCCAGATCCTGCAGTTTCTAGCTTAGTGCAAGGCTGTGGATAGAAGTTAACAAAGAAAGGAATGGCTCATGGGATGCTTGTTCTTTGGGAGGTGCAGACACAGGAACAAGGAAAAACCGTGGGGAACCCAGCCATGGGGAGTCGGTGGTTCAGAGGTTCTTTGGGCAGAGCCTTCCTCCCCTGCTGCAGCTGGGACGCAAAGACATCCAGATCTGCAGCTGGATTCCTTCTGGATATCCCCTGGAGCACCACAACTCACTGCGAGCATTTCATTAGCTTGTGGCTACAGAAATTACTGCTCATTAAATGGCCAATCCTTCTCAAAATCCCAGAACAAATATTTGCACCTTGGTGTAATTATGACAGCCATTTGGGCGCCGCTGCTCCTCCTCAGCTCCTTTTCCTCCCAGTTGGGCTCTTTGCAGTGCCTGCGGTGACATAGGCACGCTGCAACCCGCACGGGCAAATGCTGCCAGGCAGGGGTGCAGCTCAGCATCACACTGTGCAGAGTCCTTGTGCAAAGCCAAGCCAAGGGGCAGAAGTTGGGTGCACTCTGGTCCTCTCAAACAAGATCTCCACCAGCAGCATGCGACATTGTGTAATGACTTTTTCATTCCCTTTTCTGCTTTTTTTTTTGCCTAGATTCTTGCTGCAACTGTTGAGAATGCCAACATTGTCCTGCAGATTGACAATGCCAGGCTGGCAGCTGATGACTTCAGGACCAAGTAAGTGCAAAGCTCTCAGGGAAAGGAAGGGACAGGGCAGCATGCTCCACGCTGTGCTATTTGCACCTGGAGCTGCCCCACAGCTCCTGCTGGCTGCTGGTGGCCACGGGGTCCTGACAGTCCTGCACTGCGGAGAGCTGTGCGTGCACCCCTGGTGTGAGGTGCTGGCAGACATAGACAAGCTGGGGCAGGGAAGAGAAAAGGACTGCTATCAGCAGGACCCAAGCTGAGACCGTGTGCATGTCGCCAGGTTTGAGACGGAGCAGGCCCTGCGCCTGAGCGTGGAGGCCGACATCAACGGGCTGCGCAGGGTGCTGGACGAGCTGACCCTGGCCAGGGCCGACCTGGAGATGCAGATCGAGAACCTGAAGGAGGAGCTGGCCTACCTGAAGAAGAACCACGAGGAGGTGGGCGCAGCGCCGGCGCCCGCTGGGGCTGTAACGTGCAGCCAGGGCAGAGGGGGTCAGGCACGGGGCGCGGGGCCGTCTGCCATTCGGGCTGTCACTCCTGTGTGCATCATGCATTTCCTTTTGCCCAGGAAATGAACGCGCTGCGCGGGCAGGTGGGAGGAGAGATCAGCGTGGAGATGGACGCGGCTCCCGGCATCGACCTCACCAAGATCCTGGCCGAGATGCGGGAGCAGTACGAGAGCCTGGCAGAGAAGAACCGCCGGGACGCCGAGCAGTGGTTCTTCAGCAAGGTGAGCTCGGCGCCCGCGGCTGCACGGCACGGCCGTGCCCACGCCGGGCTGTGACGCGCGGCTCGGCTTCTTGCAGACGGAGGAGCTGAACCGCGAGGTGGCCATCAACACGGAGCAGCTGCAGAGCGGCAAGACGGAGATCACGGAGCTGCGCCGCACCATCCAGAGCCTGGAGATCGACCTGCAGTCCCAGCTCAGCACGGTATGCGGGGCCGCTGCCTGCCGGCGTGGGGCCGGGGCCCTTCCCCGCCGCCCCCCTGAGCCCGTCCTCTCCTCCGCACGCAGAAAGCGGCGCTGGAGGGCACCCTGGCCGACACCGAGGCGCGCTACGGCACCCAGCTGGCCCAGCTGCAGGCGCTGATCACCAGCGTGGAGGAGCAGCTGGCCGAGCTGCGCTGCGACATGGAGCGCCAGAACCACGAGTACCGCGTGCTGCTGGACGTCAAGTGCCGCCTGGAGCAGGAGATCGCCACGTACCGCCGGCTGCTGGAGGGCGAGGACGCCCAGTGCGTGGGGTTTGCGTGGGCAGTGTGGTGGGAAGGGCTGTGGGGGTCCCTAACGTGCTGCTTGGGGCCTCATCCTGACTGCAGCCTTCAGGCCTCGTGATTCTTTGCATTCCTAGCTCAGTTACCCAAAGGTTCCTTCCCTGATTGCTGCCTGTGGAGGGATGCTCAGTATCAGCACTCCCTGCTGCAAGGAGCAGTGTTCCCTCAGCCTGCAGGGGCACGCAGTGCAGCAGATGTTATCATAGTTCCTACGACTTTTCTTCTTTCCTCTCTTGCCTGTATACAGTGCTGATGAAACAACAAGAGTTTCTCCCTAACTTCCCTTTTGTTTTCTCCTCTTCTTGCAGCATCTCTTCCCAGTACTCCTCTGCGATGTCCTCACACTCTGGCAGAGACGGTAAGAATGCATCTTGTTCCACATGCCCACGGCACACAGCTTTGAGACTTCTCTTTGAGCAGCTGCCAAAGTGATGCAGGGAAAGGCAGCCCCCAGGGCGTTGCTGGGTGAGGCAGAGGCAGGATAGCACAGGAGCACCCCATAAAAAGCAACCACAAGGAGAAGCTGTAGGGGTGGGAGATGCCCCACGTTCCTTTATCCCAGGGGTGCTTCACACCAGACAGACCCTGTAGCTGAGCAGCCCCCACACTGCACAGAGACAAAGAACTGAACTACCCTGTGAAATCATAGAGTGAGCCCTTTGTGTTCCTGAGCCTTCCCATCAGGCGGGCGCTTCCCTCTTCTTGGCCAGTGCAGGGCTGTCCCAGGCTGCGTGTTCTGATACCCCACAGACTTTCCCATGTCTTTCTCCAGCCCACGTGGCACCTGACAGAGTCTTAAGGAATTTCTCTCCCTCCCCATCCCTCTCTGCCTCTCCCTGCAGCCATTACATCCTCACGCCAGGTGCGCACCATCGTGGAGGAGGTGCAGGACGGGAAGGTGGTCTCATCCCGGGAGCAGGTGGCACTGACCACACGCTAGTGGGACCCACAGCAGCCCCAGGCTCTGCCCGACGGAGCTGCCGACACAGCTGGCTTCGCCCCTCTGCTTCTCCCCCAGCGACCCTTAACCACGTGCAGCTGCCATTGTGCACTCTGTACACATTTAATAAAGCTTTGTTTTTCATTCATGCAACTGCAGACTTGTCTGTCACTGACACAGGAGCTCTCAAAGCCGAGGGGCTGGGCACTCACGGCAGGGAAGTTCCAGAAATCCACAGCTGGGAGTGTGGGAGGAGATGTGCGTGCCTGGAGCAGCAGGAGTCCGGGCAGCTTGTTTGTGGAACTCAGTGCTGATGGGTGCAGGAACTGAGATGTGACCTGGTCATGTTGATGTGAGAAAAAGGCAATGATGTTTTTAGACGAAGTGCCAAATGAGAACGGACTGAAGCCAGCAAACACAAAGCTGTGCTCTCTGACGCTCAGTATCAGGAGGAGCTGCTCCCTCCCGCAGGCGGAACCCCAAAGAGCTCAGCAGGACTGTGGCTGCCACGTGCACTGCACACAGACACGAGCACAGCATCAGCTGGCAAACCTCATCCAAATGTTCCTCCTGCCTCATTTGACTGCCTTAAAATCACACCGTTAGGCACCCAGCACCAAGGCTTTACACAGCTATATTAATGTTGCCGACGGCTGCGTTTAATACCTCTGTAGTAACCACTGCTTAATCTGCAGGGGGTGAGCAGCCATAACTCGGTATATAATGATTCTGACACCCAGCAGATCCCTGCTAAATCCGTCCTGCAGCATTCCAGCACTGGGGCACTGACGCAGGGTGGGAGGGCTCCTGCCTGCACATCCTGGAGCTGCCGGGTCGCACAGGATGGAAGGGGCTGTTGGGGGAGGGCTGCCATCACTGAGAGCGACTGCTAAGCAATTACAGAAGAAGGCAGGAAGTGAAACACCAACCAGAGGGCAGAGTTCACCGCACCGCGCTTTGCCAGAACTGCAGGCCTTGCAGCAATAGGAACCATCTGACCCCATGAGCTACACCTGCCTCAAAATAGAATACAGATCAAACGAAAACAAACTTCAGCTCAGGTTGTCTTCATAGCAATGGACAACAGTGCAGGGTGAAATCCAGAGTTAGCTGAAAATGTGCCATTTTTTGCCATCGGAAGACAGTGATTTTATCTCAGGTGTGCATGTTGGCAGCTACTGAACGCTTGAGCTCCCTGCAGAATGCCCTATGTGTGCCAAAGACAGAACGGAGTTCTGGAAAATACAGCCACTGCAGAGTATATGCAAGTGGAAGGCTACAGGAGCCCATCTGTGCCACCGACCCCCAGTGCCAGAGCCTCCCATCCACAGAAAGGCCCAGCCTGAGCATTGGAGTTGCTGGGGGCTGCTGGGAGCCCAGGTCTGTAGAAAATCCATTTGGTTTCCTTGGGAGGACTGCACCAGGCATGGTTCTGATTCATCCATGTATGTATGCTTTAGTAAAAAGGCTTAAATTCAGCACAGGGCTCTGCAAACCCTGTGATCACAAAGATGAAAGCCTGTGCTCAGCATGCATAACTGCTGTGCTATATGACAGCCATCTCACAGAAGGAAAATACCACCTACAGTTCACATCTGTGAAATGCGCACGGATTTCCACATCCACGACACAGAACGCTGCTCAGGAGTGTTCCACATTTCCTGCAGGATGCCAGAGCAGGAAAAGCAGTGACTGAATTCAGCAAGGAATTCAGATGTAAGTCCTCAACAAACAATGGCAAAACTTGGATGGACAGCGAAACAAAAAATGGAAACCAGGAATATCTTCGAAAGATATTCCATCAGCAGGGACACCAAGAGACATGAAGGACGTGCCAGACTAAGTGCGAACTACAGAAGCGCACACAGCGACTGCACTCTGCACCAGCATTGTGTCCCAGCAGAAGGCTCTGTGTTTGCACTGCACGTTTCATCCTTGGGAAGGAGAGCTGTTAATAACTGCCATTGCTGTTCCCATCCCATCGAGCACCAAACTGAAACCCAGAGAAATGCAGGAGTGCCCGCAGTGACTCACAGTGCTGTGCTCAGAGCTCTGCAGCCCTGATGTCCCCATGAGCTGCAGGGCTCGGGCAGCAGCTCCTCCTGGGCAGCTTCACAGAGACAGCTGAGTCAACATTTAGATAAGAGAGCACCTGTAAGCAGCAGCACAAGGATTCTGCGTGGGTAAAACTGTCCTAAAGCACTCCGAGACCACAGAGGGCTCCTCCCAGGGGAGATCCAGTCCTGCCTTCTCATTTCCCTCACTCATTTGAGCCTGGTTGTTCCATGGGGCAGAGCAGCCCTTGGGAGTGACGGCGGGTGCCTGTCCCCTTTGGAACGTGGGGCATCGGGACACCACGGGAAGCCAGAGCACAATTCCTTTCTTTCTAATTTTTTAACAAAATTAAGAGGGAGCAGTACCTTTACCCAGGGGAGGCCTTTCCATCCTCATTTCTTCTTAAAGCAATAATGGTTCCTTGTTGGTCCTGCATGGCGGGCTGCAAAGTGCCAGTGGAGGTGCACACACACACTCATACGTATGCACACACACACCCTGTGCTGGGCTCACACACACACACACACACACACACACACACACACACACACACACACTGCAGCTCACTGCATCCAGCTGGGGAGCACTTCCAGCAGCGCTGCCATTACACACTTGGAGAGCATCGTTATCAAATTGCTCCATCAAAAATGAAAATCTCTTTTAGTAAAATAAAGACGGCAGCTGCTGGCAGGCCTTGAGGTGTGGCCTGGTGTAGATGCATGTCAAAGCTTCCCATTATGAAAAGGAAAAAAACCACTGTGAAGAACACACAAATTGCACCGAAATCCCCTACAATCACGAGTGAAATACTTCTCCATAGAAGTTGTAGTATTCATCACTGGCTACAGAGACCTACAGCTGTGTCTGAAGTTCAAAATGGACGCACACAACCCACACCACATGTAAGGTTTTCTGGATTTGCAGTGCCAGGATAAAACCAAGGCTAATGAACCTGGCTGAATGGCACGGCAATGCCCCAAAGCAGGCTGCACCGGGCGCGTCCTTCGTGTGACAGGTCTGGGTGAGTTGGACTCCAGGGACGATGCTGAAGAGCAGCCATGTGACAGGCACCACTTGGCTGTATTAATATTATTAACAAAATGAAAAACCTGGATGACAAAGCATTGTAATTATCTCTCCCGTCCCTCAATTCAGCATCCCTAGACTAAAAATATGTTGAATATCCTTTTTCTTTTGTAGTCTCTTGGACACGCTTCCCCCAAACTGTGCTTGGAGGAGCTCCGTGCTGCTGCCAGGATTGGCGTCAGACTGCTCCCAAAATTCTCCATGCTTCTGTTTTAGAAACGCAGAGCACCATCTCCTGTGGCTGTCCTCTCCTGGCAGCGAATAGCCATAGCTAACTGCAGTGCCTGGGAGGAAAAGGAAATATCCTTTTCTCTTTTACTTTGGGTAAATATTTGCATGTTTTGTCTAGCAGAACACATACCCTGGTGTCCCTCCTCTGGAAGGGGATGTCACGGTGCATGCTGGAGGAAGGGAAGCAGCGAGCCATCACTGCTCAAGCTCCATATTTTCTGTGCACTCCATTTCCATGGTGCAACGCCAGGGGCCCTGGCGGGACCTCACCCCATTGCTGCTGCCCAGGGGGTCCCCCCCCATCCCCTGGGGCAGCTGCACCACGGGCACCTGCACCCGAGGGGGCCGAGCAGGCTCTGCCGGGTGGTGGCACCAGCCCACAGCGATCCCCTCCAGCAGGACTCGCCCCCCATGGGTAATTGCTGCTTCGTTCCCCAGGCAGTCTCAGTTATCGTCGCTGTTTGTGTCACTTGTTTGGTTGTCATCACAAGTCAGACCTGATGATTCAGGAAGTCACATTTTTGATGTAGTTTTGAAACACGCTGCTATTAACCAAAGCATCTTTCTGTTGTGGGATCGCCGGAGACAAACGCCCATAGGGAAATATTCCGGGCACAGAACTACCAGGTAGGGAGGAGGAAGAACAAACAGCGCTTCTCCAGCAGCAGCATCCACGGGGCGGTATAAATAGGGAGCAGTGGGACCAGAGGCCGGCAGCAGCTCCTGCACCGCCCGCGCAGCTCGCGCGGCTGCACCATGAGCTGCGCGCGGCAGTGCGGCACCTGGGGCAGCGCGGGCAGCCGGGCGGGCACCATGCAGGGCTCCTCTGCCTCCGCAGGACGGCACGCAGCCTTCGAGGTCGCAGCCGCAGCCGGGGCTTTCTCTGGCGGCAGTTTGGGCGAGGCGCTGCTCGGGCAGCAGCTGGGGGTCGGCAGCATGAGTGGGGGCAGCTTCGGAGCGACCCCACGGGCCTGTTCCACCCTTGGGTTCAGCACGGGGGGCGTGTGTGCGCGCGGCGTCGGAGGTTTCGGCAGGGCCGGCGAGGGGATCCTGTTTGCCAACAATGAGAAGGCAACGATGCAGAACCTCAATGACCGCCTGGCCTCCTACCTGGACAAGGTGCGGCTGCTGGAGAGCGAGAATGCCGAGCTGGAGTGCCGCATCCGGGAGTGGTACGCCAAGGTGGGCCCCAGCTGTGAGCCGCGGGACTACAGCTGCTTCCACAAGGAGATTGAAGACCTTCAGAACCAGGTAAAGCATCTCGAGAAACGTCTCACACTTCTTTGCGCCTCGCTTCCACACGTGGACAGACCGATGCCCGGCAGCAGCCTGGAGGAGCAGGAGGTGGCAGCTGGCATTCAGCAATCAGAGGGCAGCAGCTCACAGAGAGCCGACGGTCCTGCAGCCCGCCATGCAGGCTCCCCGCTGTGCTGCCATTTAACTGATTAATAACCCCCAAACACGAAACCATTATAAAATAACCATGTTGCAGTGCTCCGGGTGGACAATTCCTCCAGGCCTCCTGCAGCCGGCAGAACCTGCCAGCCCAAATCTCTTCCTGTGCTTTCTTTCCAGATCCTGTGTGCAGCCATGGAGACCAACAAAATCCTTCTGAACATTGACAACAGTCGGATGACAGCTGATGACTTCCGAGCCAAGTGAGCCCTGCGCTGGGCTGTGGGTCAGGGGAAGGAAGGGGTGGGCACTGAGGTGGTGTGGGGCTGAAACCTGCCCGCCCTACTGTTGTATTAAAGCACAGATCCCTGTGCAAGGCAATGTCCGCAGCATCACATGCCTGAAGCAAGAGAACTTGGTCCTAATTTCATCCCTCACACTCAGCTCAAGCACTTGCAGTGCTTTGCTGGCATGCTGAGTTCCTGTTCCTGTGCTTAAGGTATGAGACCGAGTGCAGCCTCCGGCAGAATGTGGACGCGGACATCTGCAATCTGCGCCCTGTGCTGGACCAGCTGGCCAGCTGCAAGGCTGACCTACAGCTGCAGTGCGAGGCCGTGACCGAGGAGATGTGCTGTCTCAAGGCGAACCACGAGGAGGTCAGATACCCCTCACCCTAAAGAAATCTGTGGGAAGAGGGGAACTTCCCCCAGCTGGGAACATGACCGTCCCGGTGTGCGCTGCCGGCAGGAAATGAGCTCCCTGAGGAAGCAGGCGACCGGAGATGTGAGCGTGGAGGTCAACGCCTGTCCTGGCCCAGACCTGAGGAAGATCCTGGAGGAGCTGCGCTGTCAGTATGAGACGCTGATGGAGCGCAACCGCAAGGAGACGGAGCAGTGGTTTGCCTGCAAGGTACGGTGCGCTGTGCGGCTCTGCCCTCTGCCTGCTGAGGGAGAGGGAGAAGTGAGAGAGCAGTGCTTCTCCACTTCCTGGCAGTGTGTGGACAACAGCAGTTCCAGCTAGGAGAAACTCAGACTGGTTCCACAGCCCCACTGCAGCGCTCTTCTGCTGGCGGCTGAGGAGCTGCAGTGCTGCAGGGTCACGGGGCATGTGGGCCTGGGCTGGGAGCACCTGGGGGCTGCAGCACAAGCGGATGTCCGGGGCTGTGGTGTGGGATGGGCAGGGCACACAGCGCTCCTTCTGACCTCAGGTGGAAGAGGTGAACCTGGAGGTCATCACCAGCAGCCAGGAGATAGAGTCGAGCAACAAGCAGGTCACGGAGCTGAGACGCCAGCTGCAGGGCCTGGAGATCAACGTGCAAGCCCAACTGACCATGGTGAGTGATGCACGATTCTGTCTCAGCCCCCAGCTCCCTGCAAAGAGCTGCAGGAGCAGAACCGCACGGATGGGTACAATGGGACAGCTCTGCAGTGGGATCCCTTGATAAGAAGTCCAGGCTGCCTGTGTCAGCTGCATAACCCATCCTCCTTTTCGTTGCTTCCATGCTCAGAAAGAAAACCTGGAGTCCTCTCTGGCTGAGACAGAATGCCGCTACAACAAATACCTCACTGAGCTGCAGAGCCAGATCTCCTGCGTGGAGCAGCGGCTGGCAGAGATCCGGGCAGAGATGGAGTGCCAGAACCAGGAGTACAAGAGCCTGCTGGATATCAAGTGCCGCCTGGAGCAGGAGATCCACACCTACCGCTGCCTGCTGGAGGGCGGGCAGCAGGACATCATGTATGCAGGCTGCAGGCAGAGCCGGGCACAGTGACATCCCTGGGCCGTCACTCACAGGGATATGAAAACCTGAGATACAAGCGGTAGAAGAACACAGTGGCGAGGAACCAGCAGCGCCCTGCTTCCAGGCAGGGCTGGGAAGCCAACCATGAGGAGCTGAGCATTTGCTCTGACCAATGTTCGGCCATGAGCTCCTTCTCTCCCCTGGGAAGGGGGTCGGCCCATCGCTCCCACCCTGCGCCAGCCCTGCCTGCGCTGCGGGGCGGCTCCCGCTGAGCTGGGGAGGTGCTTCGTGACAGCTGTCATTTAGCTGAGTCCTGCTGGCTCTGCACTGATAGACAGGATTAGGGACGGGTAGTTAAATTCCCTGAAACAATAAATTATCTAAATGTTTTCAGTTTCACACGACAATTTTAATTATGGTTTGGGGAAATTTAATTTGTATGCAAAGCAGCTGGCTCTTCCCTGCTTTCCATGAACTGAGATTTTGAAACAGAGAAGCTGTGCACAGAGCTGTCTGAGCCTCCAGCGCCCCGCAGGTGGAGGTGTTTTCATGGGGGCATCCCAAAGAGGGCTCTCCAGTCCCATGTGAGCTACACGAAACGTCAGCTCTCATTGCCAAAGCTCAGCTGCTGCAGTGTGAACAGCACTGTTACATGTGATGGAGTCACTGTGCCTGGAGCTGCTCGGAAGGTGTGTAGATGTGGCACTTGGGGATGTGGTTGGGCACAGTGGGGATGGGTTGCTAGTTCGATTTGGTGACATTAGAGGTCTTTTCCAACCTGAATGACTGTATGGTCCCACAGTCAGGCTGTTCTCCCAGGTGGGGCTGAAGAGCTGCAGGGGGAGTCAAGGCCTGCCCAAGCCATTCACCAGGGATGTAAGATTAAGCAAGCTTGGGGAAGGAGGGAGGAGAAATGCGGTACAAGAGGAAGTGGGGATGTGAGAAGGACAGGGGGGTGCACAAAGGAAACTCCAGACAAAGCCATGCTGAACCCTGAGCAGGACACTGCAGACAGGAGACGTCCCTTGGAGGGCTCCCAAAGAACAACCCCCAAAAAGTAAAGCAAACTAACAGGCAGTGCTCAGCTCCACGTGCAGCACCGGTGGGATGGGAGGAACCCATGGGACCAAACTGAGGGGACCTCAGCACTGCTGTGCCCCCGGCCCTTACCTGGGATGTGCCGGGATCCACACGCTTGCACCTAATAAAACTGTGCCACTACTGATACAGCTCTGAACCTGAGAAACAATTTCTACAAATAAGGAATTAAACGAGTATTTAGAAACATGTTACACAGGTCGTTGTGCTCTGGAAGGGATGTCTGCACTGCGAGAGCCCACGCTGGGAGCGGAGGTCGGAGGCGACGAGGAGGAGCGAGTCGGGGCTGCAGGGAGCGCAGGGCAGCCGACAGACAGCTTCTGTTGGAAGGGACTTTCGAGCGAAAGTCAAGCTTTCATTAAAGTGGGCGTGTGTTAATATAATCTAATATAAGACAATTTGCAGCACCTTTTGAGGTATTATGAATGTGTAGCAACAGGATAAAATCAAGAACAACAAGTTTTCCCAAATAATACTGAAGTAGTAATTTGAAAGCAAAGCTGTGCTGGACCCGACACGCCCTTCTGCCAGGGGAAGCGATTCCAAGAGAAAATGCTAAATAAGGAACCACGAAAGCATCTAAAGAGAAAAAGCGAGCAGGAAGAACCAGCTGGCAGCATGCGGGCAGATAAAAGGGCGAGACAAATTAATAGGTGGGAGAGAGAGGTTTTGAAAGTCAGATGCAGTAAACAGACAGAAAAAAAGTGGTGGTGGTCTATTGCACAGAGAAAGGAACGGCAACAGGCGGAGGAACTGCGCTGCTATGCTGCTGTGCCCAGCGCTGTGCTGCGGCCCCTTCCCTACCAGCGGGAATGGGGGGGGTCAGGGGATGAGCTGCACCAGCAACGTGCAACAGAAAGATCCCCGAGAAGTGATCTGCACAGCTGTGAGACGTCGGTGAGAGCAGAAATCAGACTATCAGCTCTGCAAAGTGTGAGCACTGGGCAGCAGCTGGGAGTGAAGGGCTGCACTGCACACACACTGACACTGATTGCAGGCGTTGGAATCGTGGGCCGTGAGCTGCTGTGTGGTACAAGCTCTAATTTCCCCATAAAAGTCTGTTCCATGAAGCACACAGACAGGCGAGCCTCACCCACCGCCCTGTCACCGTCCGTGGAACTTGTACTTGAGTTTATTGGGTTGTGTAACATTTGTAAAGAGTTATGTACATCAGTAATGTACTACGATAATCAAGCAGGAGATTTCTTGGCCCGGTGCACCAAATAATTTCATTTACACTGCCTGCAAGACCCACACCCTGGAGACGCATTGCAAGTAGCGATGTTTTAGTGCAAGTATTAAATAAAGGCACACAAAGAGTTCTCAGGGCCACGGCTGGCCCTCACTCGGGCTGCCTGCAGGGTCTGGGCTCTGCCAGGACCTGCCAGGCTCTGGCAGCAGCACCGCAGGTCACAGCCGCGCTGCCCGCAGCCCCAGGCTGGAGATCTCTGAAGCTGCCTGCTGCCATCAGTCCCCATCCATCCCAACACGAATGCCCTCACGCTCTGCTTTGCCATGAAGAGCAGCTGTGCTCCCAGTGGTGCAGAGGCTGTGCAGTGACTGTGCTCGAGGCTGCAGGCGCTCGGGGAACTGAAAGCCCTCGAGGTGTGGATCAGGCCGGGAGCTGCAGCGGGAGGAAATCCAGCTGAACACCTCGGCATCATGCAGAGCCTCATCGCTGCCACGAGCCCAGAGCTGAATTGGAGATGTGAGCAGTCTGCTGGAAAGGAGTGACCGCCTTTCCCAGTGCTCTCAGAGCACAGCACCGCAGCCCACAGCGCTTCCAGCTGCTTCCCAGCACCGCGGATCAGCGCGGGGGATGCAGCTCTGACTCACAGCCCCACAACATCACAGTCTGCATCTGAGAGCTGGGAGTGTGAGGTCTGGAGCCGGCTTAGTATCACTTCAAAGCAGGTTTTAATAAGTGATCCCCAATGGCTATTATGCAAATCATTACTCGTAATTACAAGTGACAAGATAACATCGTATTCCAGAGAGGTTGCACAAACATCACTGAAGCAATGCTTATGAAAGCAAAGTTCTGTCAAATTGGACGCACCCTCCTTGTAGCTGACACGAGGAGCACTATCAGTTTGATAAGCAAAGTGAGCAAAATGTGGAAGAGATGGTGGCATGGCACTCATGGCTGTATGCTGGGATCACCACAGTCCCACTGCCCTTAACAGACCTTGGGAACGTGGCACCACCTCACATCAGTGTAACTGCACCCCAGAACGAGTCCTGTGGGAGAGTGGTAAGATGGATCCAATCTTGGCTGGTAAATGGGACTGCAGCCCGTGGGGCTCTGAGCCAGGATGCATAAAAATGGCCCATCAGTGACACCAACCAGTTTGCTGTGTGCTGTAAGACCTGCTTCTTCTGTCATTGGTGGCTGAGGACACGAGCCACTGCAGTGCTCCATGTCTGCACTGTGCCTGCTAAACTGAGACTCTGAAAGGGAAAAAATGCGACCCGAGCCCAGAGCGCTGCTCTCTGTAGGCTGCTGCTGGGTAACATCTGAAAACCGACGCAGCAGAAGCAAAGCTCCAAGCAATTCAGACATTATATTAATTTCTGCTGGCTCTCACAGCCGCACCCTGTCTTCAATTATATTCCTCAAAATGTCTGACGAAAACCAGATTTATTTGCTATCCTCCTTTTTGCTCGTGATCTTCACTCCAATGAGTGCAGATCAGGGAGATGTGTTTCCAGGGGGAGGATGGACTCGTATTTCAGGCGCTGCAGTCGGCAGTCTGAGCTCTGAGGGACTGCAGCGCTGTCCCTGAGCAAGTTATTTCTCTGTGCCCCATGAATAATGAATATTCTAGGATGCTGCCAGCCTTAGGTAGGCGTCTTTTATCATTTTTGATCTAAACAAAGAAATAAATGAGCTCATGGAGAGCAGAATCCTAACGTATGCTCATGAGAAGATGATCACATCTACACATCCTTGGGGTCATTCGCCACCCTGGGGATGGGCGTCACTGCGGTGCCACTAGCAGAGAAGGGGGAGCGCATCGGTGTGGTGTCCCCTGCCCTCATCCCCAGGTGATGGCTGCTCTCAGGGCTGTCCGTGGGGTGTCACAGATTTATTCCAGCGGCTTCTGTAACTATGCACAGGGACATCCTCAAATGGACGGTTGCCTGTGAGTAAGAGTGGCTGGAAATTCCACGCTGCAGGGAAGAGAAGCCTCTGTCCCTCGAAGAGCAGAATATCCTCTCATTACTGCAGCGTGCTGGACAAAGGCACCTGTGCTGGCTGAGCCAGTCCTCCCCGCGCTCCCCAGCTCTCCAGCCCCGCCTGGAAGATGCTGTCCCAGCAGTGATGGTCGGGCTGTGCCAACGCATTACTGCTCTGACAAACACAGGCAGTAAATGTGGAAAGCTTTCCTCCTTTTCCTTTTGTGCTCAATACAATTTTGGTTGTTGGTGAAGGCAGTGACCTGCTGGATCTCATCGCAGTCGGGACAGGGAACCCATGAATCGCCCATCACGCCTTTCCTGCAAGTTCCTTCTTTATCTATGGCCGGCACAAACCACAAACTGAATGATCACAGTAACAAAAAATAACTTCAGAGAGGCACTTCAGCCTGTGTGACACCTGGACCAAGGGGCAGACAGGAACTTCCAGTGCTTCGCAGACTGTGAGCGAGTTGAGTTCCTGGGCTGGCATGACAGAATCATGGGCTATGGATGAGGTGACTGGAGAAATCTCGCAGTAGAGGTACCTGAGCCCTCTGCCTGTAATTGCAGCGGCTGGCAGGCATCAGCACCGCGACACCCCGGCTCTTTTTGCTCCTACGGTCACCATTGTTCACGCTTTTCAGAAATGTAAATTTAAATTAACTGCCCACTTTGATTCCACACAGTCTACTGTAGCACATGATACAAAAATGTTTGCTGGACTAAGAATAAAATAAATACAAATTAATAAAAGATAAAAGGGACTTTGATGTTATAAATACCAAGGCTGTTGCTTTGTACATAATCTAGGGCAACTTTTTTTCTTGACTTCTTGTAAAGTTTGCATCACACAAAAAGCTGATGACTCATAAAACATTATTTTACTTTTTGGAATAAGCTGCTGACATGTAAAGTATCTTCCTTGTGAACTGGGATTTCTAGAGGGAAACTGCCTATGGGTTATTTATTCCTGGCATAAACAGCGAGACTAGCCAGCCCCGTGGGAAGAAGAAACACCCCAGAGGTGGCACCCGCTTGGAAGGTATAAATAGGGATCTGCGGCAGCGACCAACCTGCAGTCTGACTCCGTATCACGCTGTGCATCTTGCTTTGGGCTTTGGGTTGGATTTGCAGCTGTCCTCACAATGAGTTGTAGTATTAAGCAGACAACTGGCTCTCTCAGGGGCAGGACCAGCGGTGGCAGCTGTGTTATTGGTGGTGGTGGTGGTGGTGGAGGAGCGCGGATTTCCTCGGTCTCCTCTGGAAGATACACGACTTGTGGGATAGGCGGTAGCCGAGGGTTCTCTGGGAGAAGCTACTGCAGTGGTGTGAATTACGGAGGAGGACTGAGCAGCGGCAGTCTGGTCGGTGGGAGCTATGGAGGTGGCTTAGGAGCCACTGTCCTCGGAGGATGTTCAGGCATTGGATTCAGCGGTGGCAGTGCCCGCTTTGGTGGTGGCATTGGAGGTGGCCTTGGTATCGGCATTGGTGGAGGGGCAGTTGGGGGGGGTTTTGCTGGTGATGGCATTCTTCTTTCTGGTGACGAAAAAGTCACCATGCAGAACCTTAACGACCGCCTGGCTTCTTACCTGGACAAGGTGAGGTGCCTGGAACAAGAAAATGCTGACCTGGAGTGCAGAATCAGGGAGTGGTACGCCAAGCAGGGCCCCTTCTGTGAGCCGCGGGACTACAGCTGCTATTATAAAGAGATAGAAGATCTTCAGAACCAGGTAACATCACTTCTCAGCTGCTTCCTTGCTTGTAAACTTCTCCCACGCTGTTGCTTCACAGCTTAATGCAGCTATTGAGAGTAACATTTCACTGTTGTAAAATGCTCCTCGTAAACAGACATTAAGACAACTGCCTGTGTAGAGCCCTGGAGCTCAAACGTAAAAGTCTTTAGAGTTTGGATTGTTTCCATTGCTTTTATTCATCAGATATATTAGAAAGGGAAAGTGTTGTGGGCATGGAATACATCTGGATTGGCTCAGCAGTCTGTCTGAGCTACATTCTGCCAAGGTGTTTGAGTGGACGATTGCCAAGAGGACGACTAAATGAGAGAGAAATAACAAGCTGCATGAGCTTATTCTGTCATTCATCTCGCAGATTTCCAGTTAAACATTGCTTCCTTTATTTACACATTTACTCTTTCATACAGAACTGGGAAGTAATGGACACCTCATTAAAAGTGAGAACAAAGAAAGCATTGCCAGAATAAAGTTAAAATTAAAAAGGTTTGTGCAGAGCATGTGTTTGGCAAAACTTCTAGGATCCAACACACTGAGAAGAAAATGAAAGGAATCCAGGAAACATAGAATGAGACAGAGCATAATTAGTCTCGGAAAAGCTTTTATATCTTTTATCCATTAAATTAAGGTTTAGACTGAAAAGGTTGGGAGGATCGTGGCAGGCGCTGGGCAGCACTGTCCCTGTCTGCACCTGAACTCAGTGTCTCAGCCTTTTAATGCCTCCCCTGTGCTGTGCTGAACGCTCACTGGCCTGCCGTGCTCAGCTGCCCCGCGCCCACCAGCCAACAGAGCCTGCATGCACTGCAGCCCGAGGGGATGGGGAAGAGGCTTCAGGAGTGACCACTGAACTCTCTTCTTTTCCAGATTGTCTGTGCAACCATAGACAACAACAAGATCATTCTGAACATCGACAACAGCCGGATGACAGCCGATGACTTCCGAGTGAAGTGAGTGCTCCAGGTGCTGCAGGCTGTCAGGATGCGGCTCAGAAGGGCTCCTGCAGCCGTCACCTCCAGAGCTGCTTCATGTCTGGGGCAACAGCACGGTTCTGTGTGCAGATGGGAGCTGTGCAGAAAGCACCCGGCAGGTTTTGCACAGGGAGCAGTGCGGGCTCACCCGGCTTCTTGTGGGAGGTTTTTGTTTTCTCTTGTTAGAGCATGCAAATGTGGAGTGACCCCTCCACCAAGCTTAGAGAAAGTGGGTTGAGGGCTGACCTGGGAAGGAGATCCTCAGATCGCTTCCCTCAGCATCCCAGGAGGCCGGTTAGGAAATGGCTGTAAGAGAGGCATCTGCAGAAAAGAGCAGATGATGGGTCAGATGCTGACTGCTCTCTCTTGCTTTCTTTCTCACTCAGGTACGAGACGGAGCTGGCCCTTCGCCAGAGCGTGGAGGCTGACATCAACGGGCTGCGCCAGGTCCTGGACCAGCTGACGCTCTGCAGGTCCGACCTGGAGGCACAGCTGGAGTCACTGCGGGAGGAGCTCTGCTGCCTGAAGAAGAACCACGAGGAGGTAGGCTGATGGCCCCTGCCCAAAGCCTCCCTTTGCTCAGGATCTGTGCTCTCCCTCCCCTTGGTCGTACAGGGCTGATGCTGCAAAGGGCTTCGCTTCCCCTGCCACACCGCTGGACGGAGGCGGCACAGGGAGCTGGGAGCTGGCAGTGCCCCCAGCCGGGAGCCTCCCTGCTCTCCCCGGTGTTTTCCTTGCTTCTGAAAACCTGATATGGTTTGCTACAGGAAATGAACTGTCTGAGGAAACAGTCGACTGGAGATGTGAGTGTGGAGGTCAATGCCTGTCCTGGCCCTGACCTCAGGAAGATTCTGGAGGAGATGAGGTGCCAGTATGAGACCCTGATTGAACGTAATCGCAAAGAAGTGGAGGATTGGTATGAGTGCAAGGTGAGCAAAGTTATTCAGCTGTGACTTCTCCAGGCTATGGTTCCACAGCAGTTTGCCTTAGGTTAAAACCACACGTCTGTAACAGTATTTGGCACTGATTTTGACTGCCCAAGTGCCACAGAGGATGCTGCCTCTGCGTGTCCCTTTGGATTGAGAGAGTTCACCCAAACTGTTATCATTTCATGCCCTTTGCTCCCTGCTCTTGGCTCAATCCTTAGCCTGAGTTACAGTGAAACATTCCCTTAACAAAACTTTGCTCTGGCTTGGTGATTTGCAGATCGAGGAGGTGAATCGGGAGGTGATCACGAGCGGTCAGGAGGTGGAGACGTGCAACAATCAGGTCACCGAGCTGAGGCGGCAGCTGCAGGCCCTGGAGATCGACCTGCAGGCTCAGCTCAGCCAGGTGCGTGCACAGCTCACTGCTGCAGCTCTGCTTCAGGGCAAGAACCTGCAGTTAAGTGCAGCGTCCTCATGCCCGCCTTTCTGTTGTGCCACCTGTCACCCTTCAGAGGGACAACCTGGAGTCCTCTCTGGCTGAGACAGAATGCCGCTACAACAACCACCTCGGTGAGCTGCAGACTCAGATCACGTGCGTGGAGCAGCAGCTGGCGGACCTGCGGGCAGAGATGGAGTGCCAGAACCAGGAGTACAAGATCCTGCTGGACGTCAAGTGCCGCCTGGAGCAGGAGATCCACACCTACCGCTGCCTGCTGGAGGGCGGGCAGCAGGACCTCATGTGAGTACACCTGAGACACAAGAGACTAAAATGCCTTCCTTATGTGTATTTTAGAATAGTCAAGCATTGCCACAAGAAGAGAGCTCGCTGCAGTACTCAGCCACGTTTATGCCAAAGACAAAAACAGACCAAGAGCAAAGGGTCAATGCACAAGCTCTACTTCTAATTTATCCACCATTTCCTTCACTAAAACGTTCTCTTCCTTTCCACTCAGTCAGCAAGGAGGAATTAGTCAGTTGTCGGGTCTAGGAGGAGGAGTTGCACGAACAGGAGGAATAGGAGGAGGAGGCATCATCCGAACAAGCCACACGTACACTTCGTCTGCCCAGATGCCATCCTGTGCAGCTGCGGAGATACAAGGTGAGGGCTGCAGAACTCCACTGGGCTTCGAGCCCTCTCTGCTCGACTGCAATGCTACTGGATGGGAGGGGGCAGAGGGGTAGGGAAGGGAAGGACAGAGCCGAACACAGGCAAAGTACAGACAGCAGAGAACAGGGAGAAAGGACTGGTCTGAAATCTAGGGCAAATGAATGAGCAGGAGACAGGAGTGCCCTGAAAACCAAAAGAGAAGTGGGAAGTGTGGGAACACACAAGTGTGGCAGCTGGTGCAGCAGAATGAGGATAAGTGGAGCACTGTGCAGTGCTCAGCCCAGTGCTGTGCCTGCAGCTCCCACCGCTTGGCACTGCTATGCAGAAGGGCAGAGCATGCCCAGAGCCACCATGGGTCCCATCTGCCTGATTGCAGGCAGCAAGCAGCTCTTCCTGCAGGGCTGGCATTCATCTGAAATTCCAGCTGAGCTGGCTCCTGAGGTGATCATGTGTACAGAATGACAGCACGGGAAAGAATCTGGTTTTGCTCTAAACAAAGTCATGTTTTCCTTTGATCTCTCCAGTGCCTTGCAGAAGGATTTGTGATTAAGCAGAGAAATGAGAATATCCAATGAGAGATCCCTGAAGCAGAGCCACGGATAAAGAGAGAGAATATTTACTGTATGCCTCTGCGAAGAGCAAGGAGCTGCACCTTTGTATTACTCAGCAATGCTACGCGATGTGCCAGAGGGATAAGCAGAGCGTTGGGCCACATTCCGCTTTATTTTGCTATTTGCTTTTTCCAGTCTGTATTGCTGCACCTGCCCAACCACCGTGACTGCTGCTGGAGGTCCCCAGTACTATGATACTATGATCACTAATGCACCTGCTGGTGAAAAAACTTCTCTAATAAAACTGTGCTTCTGCCTGATGCAATCAACAAAGCCGTGTCCACACTCTGATTCCTGCAGCCATGCAGGTGGTGCCCGTAAGCTTCCATGTTTTGCTAAAACATGGAAACCTATACACAAATATGTGGGAAAAGAAAGAGAGCTTAGCCTGGCTGAAAGACAGTGGCAGAACAGGGAAATTTGTCCTTCAGCTCCTGACAGCGTGGTGTGATCCTAACCCTAACCCTAACCCCAACCCCTCCCCACCTGAGGAGTGGGGTCGGTTAGAGAAGCCCTTTGTCTTCACAACCAGTGCAGTTTCTGCTGGTTTGGTTTTCTGTCACGTTCAGAGCCATCCCTTTCATTTTATAGGAACCCTTCCACTGAAACAGGACTGGTGGCGAAAGGTTAATTTCCTACCTGCTCTCGCGTAGCCACTGAGTCACTTGCTGGTCATCATCCTATTTCAAAAAGTTTCAGCCTGAACATCAGAAACTGCTGACAGGTCATCTTGACACTTAGCACCCTTCCAAGAACTGGCAGAGGCAGTGGGAGCTGAAAATGTGCAGTTCCACAGAAAACACGATGGAGAAAATGCCAGCTAGGGTCTTTCAGTACCCAGAGCCATTATTTCTTAAAGCTCAGAAGCAAGGCAATGGCCCCTCTGCCTCTGGGCCCCAGAGTGACCTGCAGCTGATGCGGTCAGTGTGGATGGGCGCAGTAGCATGCATGCCTCCTGATGCTGACCTGCACAGAAGAGCAAGTGCAGCAGTTTGTCAGCTTGGGGCCCTGCAGCACTTTTGGTGGGTGTAATCATGGGATGCGTCCACAGAGAGCTTATAGAGTCATTCTGGGCTTGGAGAACATTCAGAGAAAAGCTGGTATGAGCTGGGGGAGTTTGGGATTACAATGTTTGCTGGACCAGAAAAGCAAGCAATGAGTTTACACATTCACTCCTCCCCACAGCTTTACAGCTACAGCCCTGGACACGGGCTGTACCCCTGGTGCACTGCCATGTGTTTGGTACAGAAAGTCACATCCACGTGTTCACACCTTCCCCTGTGGGTGGCTCAGCACAGCAGCCCTGCCTTGCTGCCGAGCTGGAGACATGATGCAGTCACCCCCCAGGGAGGGGAAAGACAAAAGATTTTCACTTCCACAAAGACAAAAACATTTCAGGAGCAAGCAGTGCAGTGTGGCACACTTCTGCAGCCTCAGTCTTCGTATGGAAAATGATTTCTCTACAGACATACATTTACCGTGACATGGAACCTTCCAGATCAGTAGCAGATCAGAAGGCTCATACACAGCCAGAGCCTAAAGAGGTTCCATCCTACCAGGAGGTGAACAGTGCCCTCCTCCTGTAGAAGTGCATGGAGACAAGACCCAGCAGCCGTACTTTTTTATGTTATCTACCAGACTCAAGAACCACCAGTATTCAGGGACCAGAGCAAAGTGAGACATTGCAGCATTGGAACAGCTGCAATAATGACACATCAGTGGGTGTTTTCAAACCAAGACTCTACATCAAGTCTTCTATAAGGACAAGTTCCATGTCCAGGGAAAGTCTTGGACTTGATGGAAGACGTACAACGTGTGCTTCCCAGGAGACTGAAGGAGACACTCATTGTGGTTGCAGTGGAGAAGTTCCACTGCTGGACTCCTCAGTGCATTTCCATCCCAGTTCTCTGAGCTGGGGCTGTGAAGAAGTCACAGAGCAGATCTTCTCGTGTTCCTTCCCCACTGTATTCCCCTGCCTTGCTCAGGGCCAAGTCAGCAGTAAGACGATCTGCTGCCCCTTCTGGTCTTGCCCTTTCCCAGTACGGCAGCCCTTCCCTCGCTCATTGCTACATGAAGACACTGCACTGAGCGCTTCCAGCTTTCAGGCTCCTGGGATCTCCAGGCTGCCCCAGGAGCAGAAGAGCCGCGCTGCCCTCCTTCTGTGAACTGCTGCTGACATCCAGCTGAGCGCCCGCACCCATGGCAAAGGCTTCCCACCCTCCCAGGCGCCCGCAGGAGCAGCGCAGGCACTTTCACAAAGGAGCTGTCCTACATTCCTGACGGGTGAAAGAGACCTAATGACACGGCCAGAAGGACTCCAAACACCAGGGTTACGAATGTGCCCCTGGAAAGCCCCCAGGGACGCACAGTCAGCTCCTGAGACACCGGGCCTACGAGTTGGGATGCGTCTGGAAAGCAGCTTATGAGAAGGTAGCTTGGGATAAACAGTCCCAACAGAAAACACCCTGCAAATAACCATGCATTAGGGAGCTGCAAATTACGGAGCTGCAGACCTTGGGCTGGAAATTACATTTCCATGAGATTTCCATACTTGTTCGTGCTAGTTGGACCAGACCCAGGAACCTTATGAGCACACCTAACAAAAACAGGAGGAGAGGAAGCTTAGTTTATGACTTCTTTAGACCTTCAGAGCAGTAATTTCCCTTGGCCTGACCAGAGCACCCATTTCCTGAAGACAGAAAGGAAAATGCAGGAGAGTGGGCATTACTGTGCCAGGGAGAGCTGCCCACTGCGGGGCCAAGAGCCGTGCTATCACTGCAGCCATCAGCACAATGGCACACAGGCATCCTCCCATCCCACAAAGGGGTGTCCCGTGTTTCTGCCTGCATTATCCTGATGTGCTAAAACGATAACTGTGAAGGAGAGGAAGGAATGCGTGCTCACTCAGGAAAGATGCTTGCTGCAGACAGCTGTTGGGAAACGTCTGAAGAATCATATGCAGGACAAGGCAAAGCTTCCAGCAACGCAGCATTACATCAGTTTCGGTTCATTCTTACCACCACACCCTGACTCCAATTATGCTCCCCATTCCTCGCAATGAAATCTAGATATTCTGTTTCTAAGCACAATCGCTGTTTGCTGAAGTTTCACGTGTTTCTTAGCTCTGCTCTTGGTTCAGCCCTGAGCGGAGCGCAGCATGGTGGGACTGAAGGCATCAGCAGAGTGCCAGCAGCAGCTCCTTGTTGCTGATAAATCACTCTGAGCGTCTGCACAGCTCTGTCTCCATCTTGCTGGAGATAGCACAGGAATGCTGCTGGCTTTCATTGCACCGCATTAGTAATGTCCAAGGATGAGAGATAAGAGAAGGCATCTTTATAGAGAAATCAGGAGAGTGAGAACAATGAGGTGATGGGTAAATCCACGAATAGTGCCAGGCTTCGGTCTTTTGGAAAGGGGTTGTTTGCTTGCCGTAAGAGCAGCTGCCCACCATCTAGACATGGAGCAGGAGTTTCACCACTCTGTGCTCTGCTGGCGTGGGCTCAGGGTGGCTCAGGGTGGCTCTGGGTGGCTCTGGGTGGATGCATCCCCAGCCCAGCAGCTGCTGCAGACAGTTCTCCCCACACAGCAGCCCAGCTCGGCGTGTTCACAAAGCAGCTGAGCCGGAATGTTGATGTCAAAAAAAAATGAAAGACTTTTGGTTTTCACTTTTTCTGCCCAGCTCAGATTTAGAGAGATGAGGGATTGACCAGAACCTCTATTTCACACTTAATCCATCTTTTCCAAGCCAGTCCAGGACTGTTCCAGGCAACAACTTTCCACCGCCTTCATGGGCAGTTCTGTCCTCACATCTCCCAGCAGTGTCTGGAATTGCATTGAGCACACAGCACACTGACACAGAAATTGCCTGCAGGATCTTTCCAGCCCCACTCAGTTTGAAAAGCCCACCTCCCCCAGCACTGCTCATCTGCCATTACGTGAGAACGGCAGCAGCACCTTTCACTGAGCAGCAGGACAGTGTTTAAAGCCCTATTGTGTTATTTTATGCTCTCCATAAAAACAAGCAAATCCTTTGTGAGCCACTGGGCAGCCACAGATCACACATGAAGAATCTTCGTCTGTGTCCATTAAGAGATCAGTGCACATCATCATGGCTCACAGCAGAGTGTTCTGGAATTGTTATTTCAGCAGTGGAGAGACTTAAAGGTTAATCTCTCCGTCTCTGATCTCTCCACAAAGTTCTTACATCATTCTTCATACATCATTCCAGAATCCAACTTCGTACGTACGTTTTCATCTTACATATTCCAACATCAGCAGCTTGTGTGAAACCTGCTTATTCAACTCAAAATAAAATGAAAATAAATTAATGAGAGATAAAGAGCTCTTTGATGCAATAACCTTTAATGATTTCTTCCTGGTATATAATTTAGGACAGTGTTTTTCCTGGCTTAATGTTGTAAAGTTTGCATCATAAACAAAAAGCTGATGATTCATAAAACATTATTGCTAATGTATTTTTGAAATAAGCAAGAGACATGTAAAGCATCTTCCTTGTCTACCGGGAATCTTGAAAGGAAACTTCCCTTTGAGAAATTATTCTTGGCACCAATGGCTGGAGTAGCCAGCCTTATGGGAACAGGACCGGCGGTGACACCCACTGTGGAAGGTATAAATAGAGTCCTGTGGCAGCAGACAACTTGCAGTCTGATTCAATATCAAGCTGTGCGTCTTGCTTTGGGCTTCTGCTTGCATTTCCAGCCGCTGCCGCGATGAGTTGCAACATTAAGGAGACGATTACTGTGTCTAGCAAAGGCAGGAGCAGTGGTGGCAGCTGTATCATTGGTGGTGGTGGTGGAGCACGGATTTCTTCCTATACAATAGGCAGTGGCAGAGGCTTTTCTGGAAGGAGTTACTGCGGTGGAGTGAATTATGGAGGGGGACTGAGTGTCGGTAGCTTGGCTGGTGGGAGCTATGGAGGTGGCAACTGCTATGGCAATGGCCTTGGTTTTGGCATTGGAGGCGGTGTGGTTGTCGGTGGCCTTGGTGGCGACTGCTTGCTTTCATCCTGCGATGAGAAAGTGACCATGCAAAATCTCAATGACCGCCTGGCGTCCTACCTGGACAAGGTGAAGTGCTTGGAGAAGGAAAATGCAGAGCTGGAATGCAGAATCAGAGAGTGGTACGCTACACAGGGCCTCTCCTGCGAGCCCCGGGACTACAGCTGCTATTACAAAGAAATTGAAGATCTCCAGAATCAGGTAATGCCATTTTTCAGTTATTCCTCCCCTTTCTATTTTTCCAATTTGCATTCAGGACTTACTGCAATTGTTAGAGGTAATTTTATTGCTGTAGAATGTGCTTGCAAACATAAATGGCAGCAATTTCCTCCAGGACGTTGTTGAGTGGGTCATGCTGTGAGGCCGTACAAGTGGGATAATGCTCTTCAGAGGAAAAAGGATGCCTTGTTATACTGGGTTCTGATTGTATGGTTATGGATACAGCAAAGCAAAAGGAGCAGTAGAGTAAGAGAAAATCTCACCCAGCTGATGGTAACCCAAACGAGGCATTATAAAAGCTATGTGAGAAAAGCCAGGTGTTTAAAATGCTCTGTGCAGTGGCACAAAGAGCCTGACAATAAAATGTCCACACTGAAAGTTATGGAAGACGTTTTGGCTTCAAGGTACCTCCCAGATTCTCCTTGAAAACCCTTAAGCTTGAGGCCAAGCAGCTGCGTGTCAGCTGAGCTTTAAGTTGAAGCATCTCTGGAACTTGTCTTCAGACCCTGAAACTGGGAGTGCCCATCTCACAGCTCTCCAACTCCCAGCTCTGCCCAGCCCAGCTCTTCTCCTTGCTGCCTGCCCATCACGGAGGCAAAGCTGCCTCCTGCAAGTGCTCTGCTCAAGCACCAAACCTATGGGGAGAGAGGCGGTGGGAAAAGGGAATCAGAAAGAGCTCCTGCTTAGCATAGGTGCAACCATGGAGTACAGCAGCAGAGAAGGGAGCTGTTCTCATGCTCTGCTCTTTTCCAGATTGTCTGTGCGACCATTGATAACAACAAGATCATTCTGGACATCGACAACAGCAGGATGGCCGCGGATGATTTCCGTGTGAAGTGAGTGTCCCCGAGCACCAAACCCACAGCCCCAGCCCCCATCCCACTGCGCTGCTCACAGACACTTCAGACGAGTCTCACTGCAACACCACGTTAGGACAGGATGGGATGATGAAAGGCATTTTGCTCTTGGTCATCAGCCCTCCCTTAATTACTGTTCTGAGGTAAAACATTTGGCAACAGTGTTTGCTGGTTAGGGCCAGGGACTGGCATTGCAGGGAGCGGCCCTTAGTGGTGCAGTCAGTGCATCCCCATCACACACCACTGCAGATTGGGATCAGTAAAGCAGCTGAGCGATGGGTGACCGACGCCAGACACTGCTTTCAGGAGAGGGAGGAAAACAGGTGGGGAAGAACAGCTTGCACACAACAAACATCAAATGCAGCGCAGAAATCTAATGCACAGCGCATTCAGCTTAGACAGCAAAACCCAGAACAGAGCACGTAGATGGAAGAGGAGATCTTTGCATAAGCAGAGAGCAGGTTCTCATTTTCTGCTTTCTTTCTCACTCAGGTACGAGACGGAGCTGGCCCTTCGCCAGAGCGTGGAGGCTGACATCAACGGGCTGCGCCAGGTCCTGGACCAGCTGACGCTCTGCAGGTCCGACCTGGAGGCACAGCTGGAGTCACTGCGGGAGGAGCTCTGCTGCCTGAAGAAGAACCACGAGGAGGTAGGCTGGGGGGCTGCTGCTGCTCTGCAGAGCCCTGGCACAGAACTTTTCACCTACAGGACCGTGCTTTAAGTTACCAACGGATCTGCAGCATCGCTCTGCACTTCGCAGCTGCACTGGGAGGCACCGCGCACAGCGAGCGCCGCCCAGCACCCAGCTCTGCTCCTTTTGTTGTCTAATCCAGGCTGTATTTCCAGGAAATGAATTGTCTGAGAAAGCAGTCTACTGGAGATGTGAGTGTGGAGGTCAACGCCTGCCCTGGGCCAGATCTCAGGCAGATCTTGGAGGATTTGAGATGCCAGTATGAAACACTGATAGCGCGCAACCGCAAGGAAGTTGAGGATTGGTACGAGTGCAAGGTAAGCAACATAAACCTGCTGCCAGACTGATGTGCACAGATCGGGGCTTAGAAGCACTGAAACAGACACGGAGACAACAAGCTGTTGTTCTCTGCAGACGCCTGAGATCAGCACAGGTTTACACGCTGTGCTCTGCGGGAGGCACAGGCCTGTCTGACCAGTTTGCTGCATCCCATCTGGCGGCAGCAGCTGCCGCAAGGCCTTGTGGTGCCGTGCTGGAACTGAAACCTTCCACGCTGGGATTAAAGAGCCCTGGTAGCCAGGAGGTTACTGCGATTTAAAAAGAGCAAACAGCCAAAGGCTGTGGTTAAGCCCAACACACACACAGCTCGCCGTGCCCACCTGGGGCTGTGCTGCTACTCACTGTGAGCTGTGCTGTAGAAGTTCAGCCTGCACAGAAGTTCTCTGAGGGTCTTTGCTCTGGCTTGGTGATTTGCAGATCGAGGAGGTGAATCGGGAGGTGATCACGAGCGGTCAGGAGGTGGAGACGTGCAACAATCAGGTCACGGAGCTGAGGCGGCAGCTGCAGGCCCTGGAGATCGACCTGCAGGCTCAGCTCAGCCAGGTGCGTGCACAGCTCACTGACAGCTGCGTGCAGGCACTGCAGGGCAGCTCTTCTGCTCTCACTGTGGAAACAGCAAACGGTGCGCTGACACGCGAGTGAATGCTGTTTCTCTGTGTGGTTGTCTTCTTTATCAGAGGAATAATCTAGAATCCTCCCTGGCTGAGACGGAGTGCCAGTACAACACGCTGCTCGGTGAGCTACAGAACCAGATCACGTGCGTGGAGCAGCAGCTGGCAGAAATAAGAGCAGAAATAGAGTGCCAGAACCAGGAGTACAAGACCTTATTGGACGTCAAGTGCCGTTTGGAACAGGAGATTCAGACCTACCGCTGCTTGTTGGAAGGAGGACAGCAGGACCTTATGTACGTAGATCTCTGAATCCAACAGAATCAGGGAAAAGATCAAGGATGTGCTTTACGGGTTGGGAATTATTTGACATCTCTGGTCCATCTCAATGCTCTGAGATGAAAATGTCTCCTGAGCTGCTTCACTACGATGAGTGTTCAGTTCTGAACTAAATGTCACTCCTTGGGATCTGCAAAGCAGAGAAACCAAATCTTCCAACATCACAACTTCCAGTGTTGTGTCCTTGTTTGTCACAGTGTGTTTTCTGTGATCAGATGGGTGACAACTGTCAAAAGAAGAAAAACATCTGCAGGGCTCTGCCACTTCCATGCCAAAGGGGGTGTGGAAAGCAAAATGAGAAAAGAACACCATGTAAAATGCTCCGTGACATTTCTAACCTGTATAAATGGCATGATGTGATACTTTGAGCCCTGGTAGCGCCATGTAAAGTTCTAACACTGTCCATCTCTCTCCCCACACGCATCCCATCAGTCATGGAGGAGGAATTGGAGTAGGGAGCGGTGTTGGAGGAGGAGTCATTAGGACAAGCCACACCTACACTACAACCACAGCATCCCACTGCCAGCCACAAGTCCCGCCCTGCAAGACCGGGGACATACAGGGTAAGAGCTGCTTCCACACCAGGACAACACCTTTTTGCCCAGTTTGTTCCTTTGCAGTAAGGCCAGGAGACAACGCTATGTCCTAAACCACCATTTATACATTCTCAGAGAGTTACAGTGCTGTAGTTTGGGCTGTTTGGCACTAGGGGCAAAACTGCAGCACCACTAAGAAATACGCTTAGACAGAGGTTGGGCACAATCTGGAGCAATAGAAAGAAAACGTGAGATGTGGGAGTGTGAGGAGAAGGCTGGGGAGATGAGGCACAGGGGAAAGGTGGATGTAAAGCAGCAGAGCCCCGCAGCGCTGAGCCACGGGGCTGCAATGGGCACAAAGAGCCAATCTGTCATCCTATGGTGCAGTTTGCCAACGAAGCACAATTATTTTGGGAGCTTCTGGGATTCCCTGGGCTCCCCACCATCCGCTCTTGTTTATCAGAGCCTATCACTGAAATAAGTGTCCTGCACAGCCCAATTTTTGTTCCTCTTTGAAAGATTTTCTCTCTGCCTGAATCAAAATAATGCTCTCCTTTTTTTCTGCAGTGACCTGCAGGAGAATCTGTGATTGAGGATAGCCGGACCAGGAGATGACACACAGAGAAACTCACAGACAAAACAAGAACACTCCGTGTTCACTGCATGCCTCCATGCAGACAAAGTAGAATTCAGCGACGCTTTGCCGTGTATCTCACGGGCCCCCGTGGGTCTCCTTTCCTCATTCTGCTGCTTCTGTAACGCTGCAATCTCTAGAAGTTACTCGTGTTAGTCAGGATCACTAATGTACCTGCTGGTGAAAAAACTTCTCTAATAAAACTGTGCTTCTGCCTGATGCAATGAACAAAGCCGTGTCTGCCCTCTGATTCCCGCAGCCCAGCAGTGCTGAGCGCAGCGCAGCCCCGGGCACAGCAGAGCAGGAGCCGAGCACAGAGCCCAGCACAGCAGCAGCCCTGAGGATGGGGCTCCGTGCCCCCTGCCCCCCGCAGGCACTGCCCAGGGCTCTGCACACCCTGTGCTCTGCACCATACAGGTGGCTGCCCGAAACAGCACCCAAAAAACCCGAGTGGGAAAAGCACCCACACAAAAGCCCATTTCACACCCTCTGTAAGCCTGTACGACCTAGCGCAAACACGACCCGGGGCTGAAGGCATGCGAAAATGCTGGAGTCCAACGGCGGAGACTTTAAACTGGGTCTGAAGCATAGGAGCAAATCCGCTGCCCACTGCAGCCCCGAGCGGCCCCGGGCAGCCACCGCCCTCCGGGAGCCACGGCGGCCTCTGGCGGCACGGAGCCGCTACGGCACGGCACGGCACGGCACGGCACGGCACGGCACGGCACGGCACGGCACGGCACGGTTCGGCACGCGGACCCTGGCGCTGAGAGATGCTTGGAGGTAAGAGAACGAACAGGAGGCACGGCCGGCGAGTTTCCCACGGCGCGAGCAAAGCACTTCATGGGCGCTGGACGTGACTGCAGCCACGGCCCGACGAGCTGCGCTCACAAACCCGGGACGCGCCCGCAGCGCCGCTCAGCGCTGAGCGCCCGCACTGCGCCGCCGTGGGAGCCGTAGGGCAGCGATCAGCTCAGAGCTCTCAGCTCACGCGCTATTAAGTAATAAATATGATCGAGTCCTAATACGACCCAACGAATCTGAATCCAATTTTCTTTTTTTCCAACATTCTGATCTGACAGAGATAAGAAGATGTCTGTCTACGTCTCAGCCCAGAGGAGAGCGCTGCGCACGGCAAGGAGGAGCAGCGTCTGCCTGCAGGACGAGGGCAGAGCTCCTCTCCGACACAGTCACACTTCAGGGGCCGGTGTCCTATTTACTATGAGGAAATACCATCCCATGCGATTATCTGGTGCCAATAAAGTTGATTGATGAGCATATAATGGGAGTTAGCTTGTAACATACAATTATGTGAATGACCTGTATTCCCCACATGGCTCTTCCACCGTTTTTCTCCACCAGAACACTGAGCAGAAGGACCTTTTCCGACAGACCCGACCGCAGGACGGAGGGGCCGCGCCGGGCACAGCTGCAGGCACAGCTGCACTCATTGCTCTCCTGGCCTCGCAGGTCGCAGCGCTGGGGGCACGCAGCAGGCAGCACCGGGAGTGCCAGCCCTGCACTGCCGGCCCCCCTCCCACCCTCCTGCGGCCCCAGCGGCGCCCCTCCCTCCTGCCATGTGCAGCCCAGGGGACACAGACCCTGTTCTCTCGCAGCCTTTGCTGCCACCAGGCCGTGACCCTGCAGGCTCGCTGATGGACTGAACTCGTGCCCACGCTGTGTGAGCCCTTCGTGCTCAAATACATCGCCCACTGCTGGGCAGCAGCTCAGGTTTGTCACAGGAAAGGGAAGGGACGCGCTGCAAACAGCCGAGGTGCCGCCCGCCCTCAGAGCATCTCCTCCCCTCCACCCCCTTCTGTTCTGGCAGCCCGTGGAATGCAGGACGGTGGGTTCTTTTGCTGCCGTGAAACCTTCAGCTGAGGGTATGCTGTGCCCGCGTGTTCTCTCCATTAGCTTCACTTAGTGACTAAGAAAAAGCTCAGTTTCACAAGTGCCATGTTGCAACCTCACCTTGCACTGCCATTCACACCTCGTTCCCCATACTGCGAGGGGCAGAGGCAGCACAGCTCCCCATGGGCACCCTTCCAGAAAAGACCCCAGCGGAGTTGTTTGGTGCTGTACCTGGCACAGTGGGGGCTCTGCCTGAATGCCTGCAGCAGGCAGGGCTGGGATGTGCACCACTGAGAGTGGGAGACCTTCGCAGATGGCACATGGTGACTCCTGACAGCTCCATGACTGTCATGGGCCAAAGGAGCTGATAGTGCAGGAGCACTTCAACAGAGAAAGACTTCTTACTGGAACAAGCTAAAATTACTTGATTTAGACTCCCCCAAGCTTTGCAGTGGGGGCTGGGAGGGAGGGCCTGGCTTCCCAGCACAGCTCAGAAATGAAGTCCAGCAGAGGATGAAACTCCAGGTGTGTCCCTGTGTGTGGGTGAGGGTGTGCTGGGAGGGGTGTTTATAAAGGATGTTTCCACAAACAACTGCTATGAGCCACAACACCCGCATCTCCATTAGCAACAATCAACATCCTGAAGGCTCAGCGAGGAAGAAATAACAGCAGATCAATACAGGAAATTGGGTGTCACAAAAGCGGCTCAGCGCAGCGCGGGGCTGCAGTGGGGATGGCAGCACAGACTGCTGCAGTGCGGGGGGCTCAGCTCCGCTTCCCACGTCTGGAAAAGTCACAGCCACATCAGAATAAGACGGTGCAGTGTTCCTGGCCAGCGTTCCTATTGCAGTCATGCTGTGTCCAACAGAAAACAAAACTGAAGGGAAATGCTGTCCTGATGTACATCTGATGGACACAACCCCCCAAACTGCAATTTCAATGAATTCTGGAACACAGCCACACAGCCCTGACACAGCTCACACAATGCACCTCCTTCAACAAAGTGCTTATCTTTTACTGAAGAGATCTCAAGAAATGCAGAGTTCCTTCAGTGTCTTCAGATTGCCATAAAAGGGCTCGTGGAGCTGCAGCAGTTGTTTGCGGGGCACCCGGCGTCCTCTGTATGGAACTGTGGGAAGATGGAATAACTTTCTAACACATTAAATGTTTTATTACATCCACCTTAATATTCAGTATCATCTTCGGAGCAGCAGCCCACGCTGCCCTCACAGCCCTTCCACGTCGGTTCCGATGCTTTTCATACTGCAGTGGCTATTAATGAAACGTAACTGCAGCTGCACACTCAGAGCAATGGTGGACAGATGGTGTGTGCCAATGTCCACTTTGTTTGCAGGATAAAAGATTAAGTCCTGGGGTGTAGCTCTGCAGCAGTAGTGGCTCTTTGTGGTGGTTCTACAGAGCACTCTGCGATACGTGTTCCAAGGGCATCGAGCAGTGATAGCCTGAAATGAAGGAGCGTGAGGCATAAGGCAGCAGAGCGCATTAAGGGAGCCCTGCATGTAAAGAACAGCTGGATTCCCTGACACACATCCAAAGGGGGAAGGAGTGTGAGGAAGGATGGCACTGAAGGACACAGAGCACTCAGTGCTGTCACACTGCGATGGTTTGTTGTGCTGGGAGGTGTGTGGGGTGAGGTGAGTGGGATGAGTTTAATTCAGATGAGTGTCAGTGGACTAGATACTGAAAATAGCTGCCTAACTCAGAGCCACCCAGCAGAAATTACACGCTTTGTGCTAATAAACAAACGGTCACAAACACGGAGTGTGGGCTCAGCTTCCTGAACTGCCAGATATCTCCCTTTGGCAAATTACTCTTGGCACCAGGACCACGGCTTGCCACTGCACATGGAAAGAAGGTGCTCCCTTCGGAGGTGACACCCACGGCCCCACTATAAATGCAGCCCAGCAGGGCAGGGGCCGGAGCTATGATCCCACGCGGCTCTGACACTCGCTGAGCCCCGACTGCCGACACCATGAGCTGCTCCCAGAGATCTTCCAGCTGCCTGCGAGGGGGCAGCGGGGGCAGCCAGCACAGCTCTGCAGCAGCACACAGATACACCGCGTCCAGGGCGGGCGGGCGGCCCGCTGGGGGCAGCTGCAGCGGGGGCAGCTCCAGGAGCAGCTGCGGGGCGGCGAGCTTTGGGAGGATGAGGCGCAGCAGCTACGGAGGGGGAATGAGCGGCGGAACGGGGGGCAGCTCCTATGCAGGGGGATGGAGTGCAGGCAGCTACGGAGGGACGATGCGCTGCGGTGGCATGGGAGGCGGCTTTGGGGCAGGAGGGAGCGGGTTTGGCGCTGGGTACGGAGGGAGCTTTGGCTTGGGCGATGCTGGGTTCAGCGCTGGTAGCTTTGGTGGCGGTGGCTTTGGTGGAGAGAACATGGGAATTCTGTCCAACGATGAAAAGCTGACCATGCAGAACCTTAATGACCGCTTGGCTTCATACCTGGACAAGGTCAGAAGTCTGGAAAAAGAAAATGCTCGGCTCGAGCAATTGATCAGGGAGTGGTACCAGAAGCAAGGTCCTGCAGGAAGAAAGGACTACAGCCACTACTACACCACAATTGAAGACCTTCAAAATCAGGTAGGGGGCCCTGTCACAGACACTTGCACATCTGGTAGACCTTTTGCAACAGGGGCACCAGCACGGATACTTCTGTGCTCACCAACTGCTGCTCTGAAGGCACCTCGTGTGCCTCAACTCCACCTTCCGCGCACACATCTGACTACCGACCATGAGAAGAGAAGCAATGCACCCTCTGCAGTGCACCCCCGGGCACTCAGCTGGCAGTGAGATCAGACCCTCAGAGTGCCTGCAGCAGATTTCAGAGCATAGGAAAAGCGTCAGTGCTGGCCTCCAGGCTGGGCAGTGTCCGACGTTCGGTTCGTCCTCATGGGCTCACAGAGAGCACAGCGACAGCCCCAGGCCTTGCAGGGCTCCTTCCTCCCTGCTTGCATTCCACAAATGCGTCTTTTGCAGTTCTGATGCTATTTTCATAGTGGCATCTCTTTGCACTGTAGATGGCCTTCTCAGGCCTCTCCGTGTAGGAGCTGCTGCTCCTCTCATTCACCTACACTACAATGGGAAGATCACATTCCAATGTGTCCCTCCTGTAAGTCTGAGAGGCTCACAGTGAAAGCTCTCCTCAGCCCATCATCTTCTCTTCTAGATTCTGACTGCGACTTTGGAGACCAACAAAGTACTTTTGGACCTGGATAACACAAGGATGACTGCAGAAGACTTCAGGACAAAGTAAGTACATATCTCCCATTTCCAGGCACCCACTTCCTTTCTCCTCCTTTCCTCAACCTACCCTCAGAAATAACAGTCCACAAAGCCGAGAGCTTCTGGTTCCATGACAGCACAATTGAAACAACCTGGAAGACTTCAGGTTCTTAATTATTTCTGTAACAAAGCAGAAATACTCCCTATGGCTGTGAGAACAAAGATCATTGTTTTAGGGAAAGCTGAAAAACTGTTTTATTTTTAAGGAGAAACAAACTGTGGTTCTCTCTCACTGAAAGTCAAATGAAATGCAGATGAACCACGCTCAAAGTTTACAGTAAGAGGAGAAGATGACAAAGACGTTTTCATATTAAAGTTTAATTTTTGTAAATAAAGTTAGAAGGAGAAGAACCACGAGCCCAGGATCAGGGCTGACCTGTCTGCATTGCGCTCTGTAGGTATGAGACCGAGTACGGACTGCGGCAGAACGTGGAGGCCGACATCAACACCCTGCGGCCCCTGCTGGACAGCCTGACCCTGACCAGGTCTGACCTCGAAATGCAAGTCGAGTCCCTAAAAGAAGAGCTGATTGGCCTCAAGAAGGACCATGAGGAGGTAAGAGCCAGCTCCTTGAGATGCAAACTGTGGAGGCGAATGAGAACGCTTCCAACACTGGGAATGTGGGCAGGTGTCCCCAGTGACACCTTCCCTGCCCTCCTAACACAGCTGAGCTCCTGGCCCAGACTTTTCCAGGGTCTCTCTTAGCACAGGGCCTCCCACCAAGCAACAACAGGAAAGTCAAAGCCAAGCAACAGCATTAAAAAAATCTACATTTTTGAGAGGATCTGGAATAGTTAATGATTCCGGAGGAAGCTGGCTGGCTCCAAAACTCTTTCACAAAGTAATTTCACCATTTTTGTTTGTGTGCCTTGGGTCTGGGTTTTCTCTGCAGGACATGAAATCACTGCAAGCACAATCCAGCGGTGACGTGAATGTGGAGGTCAATGCTGCTCCAGGAGAGGATCTGCTGAAAAAACTGAATGATATGAGACAAGAATATGAACAAATTATCCAGAAAAACCGTGAAGAGGTTGAAAGTTGGTATGAGAGCAAGGTAAATGAGCAAGCATTGAATGCCTCAGCTCCTCGTGCAGTTGGATGCTTCCACAATAATTGTGGTCAAAAAAACTCCAACGATATCCATTCATTTTTCAGATGGAGGAGGTGAGCCAACAAGTCCACTCAAGTGGTCAGGAGCTGGAATCAAGCAACAAACAGATCTCTGTGCTGAGACGTGACTATCAGAGCCTGGAAATTGAGCTGCAGTCTGAGCTCAGCAGGGTAAGTAGAGATTGCTTCTAAGCCTGATACGTGAGTTGCTGCAATGGCAGGAGAAGCAGTTCTCTGTAGCTAAAGCTAGCACTCCATTTAGATAATAGGATGTTTGCCACATGGACGTTGTGAAAGGTTTTTCTCCTTTGGGGCACAAGAATGGGCTAATCTTGCCACGTTCCATTAAAAAACTACTTTTCATTCTATTTTCAGGTAGGGGCTTTGCAGTCCAACCTGGAGGACACAGAACGCCGCTACAACATGCAGCTGCAGCAGATCCAGGGCATGATTGGCCCCTTGGAGGAGGAGCTGGCCAGCATCCGCTGCGAGATGGAGAGCCAGAACCAGGACTACAAGGTGCTGCTGGGCATCAAGACCCGGCTGGAGCAGGAGATTGCTCAGTACCGGTCACTGCTCGAGGAAGGACAGCATGGTATTAGGTATGCACGTGTGGAGTAACTAATATGCAGAGCAGTTAATTTGTTCCCAGTTAGGATAGTTTAGAAACAATGCCCTTGAACACGTTTCACACAGCAGTACTTTCCCAGTCATACAAGGAGCTCAAAGGAAGGCAGTCAGGGAGTGGCCCCGATAAGTTGGTAGGATGTCACACATCAGCCATGTTGCTAAGAATCTCAGCCATGCATGCCCTGTCCTCCTCACAGCACCTCGCAGGGAGGAGCTGGTGGTGGATCTTCTGGAGGACACGGACACGGAGGAACGAGTGGGTCTTCTGCACGAGGTGGAAGTGGAGGAGGAAGCAGCTGGTGCTCAGGTGGAGGAAGCAGCGGAGGATCTGGTGGAAAAACTTCTGGAGGTGGAGGAGGAGGCAGCAGCAGAGGAGGAGGCTGTGGAAAAGCTTCAGGAGGAGGAGGGGGCAGTGGTGGGGGAGAAGGGGGCAAAGGCTGCCTCTCCCGCTCATCATCCTCCCACTCCCAGTCTGGCAGCTCTTGTGAAAGCCCAGGTAAGAACTGGAAGAAAGGAATACATCCTATGTCCTTCCATTAACTCTTGTCTCTGAACAGTGGCAAAGGACATGATGACATCCTTCCTTATTTGGAAATCTGGAGATGTTTTTTATGGCTTTTTTTCACATTCATGTTTTAAGTCCATTTACTTCTTACACAATCACATATCAAAATGGTTTCATTTTCACAAGCGACTCAAATTTAAATGATGATATGAAGAGTTTTATCAGACAAGGTACAGAAGTAGAAAATAAAGGAGGAAAAGGGAAAATAATGCCCAGTTGAGAGCAAGGAGCCAGAGAAGTCAGAAGTATCCTGGAGCCAAACATTAGAAACTTAATTGCTATTAAAAGTGAAACACAATTAAAGCCGAGTGGAAAAGTTGGAACACTCACAACATTTAAAATATAAAGAGTGTTAGCTGCAAAAGTCTAATGCAGCAAAAGATGGAGAGTGACCAAACGGTCTTCTCTGTGTCTGACTTCATGGCTGTGGTTCCAGGAGGTGCTGAAAACTTGAAGCTCTGCCTGGAAGGGAATAAAACATTGGAGAGAGGAGCAACAATGGAGGAAGTGTCCGAAGCCATAAAAACTTTGAGATCACGTAAGGCTTCAGGACCTGACAGCATCTCAGATGCCTAAAAATGCTGAAAATGAACAGAAGGTTAGCATTTCTAGAAAGCTTCGATCAGACATTCTACTTGACCTGCAGCAGTCCTCCATGTGATAATGTTTGGCAGGCAAGAGCAGGCTGACTGAGGCGGCATCTCTTCAAAGAAATTCTTGCCTCCCTTCATCTTTCCCCAGGGAGCTTCAGGAGGTCTGAGCACTGATGGCTGCAGCTCCCGGGGGCTCCGGCCACGGCGCGATGAGAGGAGCATCCCTGATCCATCCCAGCTGCTCTGCCCAGCTGCCTCTCCACCTGAATTTCTGTGCTGAATCACTGTTACTGCTGTTAATCTCTACCATGATTGGTATTTCTCTGGGAAAAAGATTACTCTAATTAATAAATCTTTACTTCTCTCTGATGCAACCAGATAGCTGTATCTGGCAGCAGTCTCCTTTAGCATTCATTTTTGCATGAATTGGTCACAAATGTCACACCCTGCCTGTGGAATGCACAATAACAACTCAATTAGATTACTCAAAAGACCCCAGAGCTCTCAGCAGCATGTTCACCATTTAAGAGAACTGCCAAGGCCTCCCAGCCGTGCCGTGATGCTCACAGTGTGAGAGCAGCCACCAGCACTGCATGGCACAGAGTGGTGGGAGGGGGTGGCTGTCCCCTATGGGCTCTGGAGGAGCCGTGCTGGAGATGGAGAGTGACCCAAACTGCACCCATGGTGTCTCACAAAAGAAGGAATTGAGGCTACTTGTACTGCTCACAGCCATGCAGCTGTGCAATATTTGGCCTCATCGATGTACTTCCTCTTCAGGGCATCTGCAGTGCTTGAGGATGAACAGACATACTTTGCAGGGAAGACAGACAAACTGTCCATACCTACAATCTTTTACAAACCCAGAGGTAGGCTGTAAGTACAGGAAACCCAAGAGAAATGATTCCCAGGTGGTTGTTAAGGGCTGCACGCAGAGCACACAGCAGGGGCACGAGCAAAACTCCTCCTTGCTTTAATTACAGACCCAGATCCACCCCTATGTCCTGGATGGGCCCCAATGGGAGGGGGCTCCTGCAGCCCGCACCCGATGCTGTGCCCTACACAGTGCTTCTCTTTTCTGCTGAGGATAACGAAAATGTGGGGACTGTGCAGAACTTCCCTGTGCTCAACTGGTGAATCAAACTGTACACAGAATTTGCTTGAATATAACTCAAAGGACTCTCAACACGTTCCTACCCCTTGCATTTCTCGATTCAACACAAACCAAAGGAAGCAGATAGGTTTATCACTGGCATCGGATTTCTCTCCCAGTTTTGCCCAAGACGGGGCTGTCACGAGCTCTGCTTTCTCACTCCGAGGGCGGCATTGGCCCCTGGAGGAGGTTGAGAAACACTGATCCAGTGGGAGACCGTGGGAACGGGACTCGTAGAGCCCGAGCTGTAGGCACGTACCTGTGGGTGATTCATGGCACTGCCCTGCGCCGGGCGCTCAGCCAACGGGATCCGGCTTGAAGAAAATAAAATTCCTCCGACCACAGTCTGTGCGGGCACCCGAGGAGCTGGCGGACCTTCATGAAGAACAGCCTGACATACAGCAGCACTGATATCCCTGACCTCGTGTGCTAAAGAGGCAGTGCTGATTATTGACTTCATCCTACTGCAAAATCACCCGCGTCCCTTTAAATCATCGCAGCACCACATGCCTGCACTGCCAGCTCACCCGGCCTTCCCTGTGTGCTGCACGCACTCTGCACTTCTTGCAGCCCATGACGACTTTCTGGCACGTCTGCTCGGGGCAATAAGCTACCAGGGCACAGCAAAGCGTGCTGCTCTGCCACAGCACCGCTCCTCCATCCTTGACTTCCATAAGCCCAGTGTCCTGCTGCTGCTCTCAGTGCTCCCGTCACTACGAGGCACACAGAGGGGTCACACTGAGAACAGATGGGTGAGTGCTGCTCCTGCAATACAGCGTGGTGTGCTGCTGATGTAGGTGCTGACATGGAAGTGTTAGAACCACGCTCACAAATAAGGAGACATTTCTGAGTAATTAGGATAAACAGTACAACATTGCTATTGTTTTTACTGCTCACTGCTGTCCATTCTGTTTTCCTCCTAAAATTTCCTTTCCCAAATTTGCTTCCTTACCTTAAATTTGTACCTTTCTTAAGCAGAGGCTGTTATAATGCTGTTATATCGCACAGTGAGCCTGCATCCATCATGCAGATCCACTTCAAAGTGTATCATTTGCTACACCTTACAGAATGTGACAAAATAAATAGAAGCCACGAATGGACTTCAGAAAACCCTGACTTAATCACGGCATTACTGCCCACAGCAGACAGAAGGGAAACTGCACTGGGATGAATTGATACTGCAATGTGGAAGAAAGTGCCAGGTTAAGAATTCTTTCATTTTTCCTTTTTTTTTAATACAAAATCTGCATTTATACCACTGGTGTGGCAGTGTGTGCTTATGAGAGCAGCCTTGTAGCAACAACAACAACCGAACAACAGTGACAAATGCGTGTGTGGAGGAACAGAGCCACAGAACCGAAACCACTGCAGACCTGGAGAAAAATGGAAGTGTCGCAGCTCGGGGTGCTCAGAGCGGGACCTGAGCGGGACTGACAGGAGGGAGGACAGCCCTGCAGGTTTTATTTGCACGCACTTTGTTAGGCATTAATCTGCATAATTAGCTTTAATTTTATGAGCACAAAATGTTGCAATTTGGATACTTATCTGGTATTGCTATTAGTGCTCTGAGAAGAAAATTGCAGTGCGTGTTGGAACAGGACCTTCAGAGCAACCTTTGGCAAAAATAAACGTTACACGCACTCCTGTGTGTTTGCTCCAGAGCTCCCAGAGCAATTCTTGTGCCCGTCTGAACACACAGATGGAATTTCCAATTTTCAGTATTGCCTACAGACGTGTTCAGCACCAGCTCTGTGCTGCCAGCACAAAGCTACCTGTGCTCAGACCTGGTGCAGCAAGGGACGGCAGGGACGAGTGGGGCCCACCTCGATGGGAGCGGGCGGTGGGGGGAAACGGCCTGCAGCCCATGGGAGCATCCGCAGGCATCAGCACAAGGGCTGCATCGCAGGACCTGGCCCTGACCATCTGCAAGGCACAGGAGCAGAGCAGGAGCCCACAGCTCAGGCTCAGGGCACAGTGTGACCTCAGCCGTCCTGTGCCGGGTCCATCTGCATTCCTTCAGAAATCATTGTGATTTCAGAGAAATATTTTGAGATGAAGTGGGAATCAGGAGAGAACACTGAATCCCAAATGAATACAGATCTCTTCTTGCAAAAATTTCTGCTAAGAGTGATAGAAAGAGATTATTAAATAGATCAAGAGAATAAGTTCCAGCACTTCCTGAGGCATGGCATCAGCACGGCACTGTGTGTAGGGGAGATGTGTAAGTGTTCTGGTATGGAGACCCACAGAAAGCACACATCCTCTCCAGGTGAAGCCAGCAGCTGCAGCACACAGAAGCCACCACTTTGCTCACCTTGCAGCAGCTCTGAAGGGCCGCAGCCGCTTCTCCGATATGGATCAGGGAGGTTTGGTCGAAAGGAAGACAAAGCTGAGTGTCAGGAATGTCAGCTGTACCTGAAACGTGACGTGCTGAGCACAGCACAGAGCTGTCAAAACACTCAGGGCTCTGCAGGCTGAGCAATGCTGGCAGCTGTGGCCATGAATGTCTTTATTCTGGGCCGATTTGGAAACAGTGGTGTTACACAGCACAGCACATGCTGCAGCAACACATCTGCAACTTCAGTGCCAGAGACTGAAGAGGCAAACGGCATCTCCTGTGAGCACAGTGGCTGTGACAGAAACAAAGCATCCCGGGGAGATGCTACAGCTCTAAACAATACAGCGAGGCCCAAGAGCCAGCAGATTTCCGTAACACTGACATCAAACCGGCAGCAAGAAGGAAATACACATGACACAATAAGGAACATCCTGTCGGCTTATGACTGAAAAGCTACCAAAGATCTGAAGGCAGAACCTCCTGTTGGTGCTCCTCCTGTGTACACGTGTAGCAGTAAGAGCACAGAACGAAAATGAAAGGCTGAGGCCATCTGAAGCCCTCATGGCTCCTTGCTCTCATTGCTTTTCTGGTATTTTCCAAGCATACCACGAGATGTGCCCTCACCAGGAAAACCTTCAGGTATCGACAAGTCCCTGCAGTGAAAAAGTACATATAGAAAAAGGAGATGTATAGAAAAAGGAGAAAACAATGTAGGTACTCAGGAAGTACATAAACAGATTAAGAGACTCTTTGGGCAAATGTTGTTCCTCTTGTTGCAGTAACTTTGGAACATTTTTTGCCCTTTATCACTAACAAACCTACCGAGTGCTCTGGCCTGTCTGTGAAACACCAATAAGGATCATCTCCAGCAGCAGTGATGGAATGCTGACCATGGTGGGATCTGGGAGGAAGGGCCCCCCTCACCACCCCATCCCGACCCACACACAGAGCAACACGAAAACCAAATGCTTTTGTTCTGTAAAGGACGCCTTTCAACACCAGCAGGAGAGCCCAGATCCCAGAAACTGTTTGGTGACACTGCCGTCCCCAGCTGCACATCCCACTGATACGATCACATCATCAAGGCAACTGGAAGCTTTCATCATCTGTCAGCTATTGAGAGTATAAAATAGCAAGATAAGATCAGAGAGCTTTTGAAAGAGATTGCACAAGCAGCAATATAACAACATCAACTAAAGCACAGCCCAAAGCACAGCACAAGACATCCAGGCAGAAAATATTAAATAATGTTTAATTTAATGTAAAAAAAAAGCCCTGGAGAAGCAGCAGTAGAGTTTGTAGAAGAATTATGCACATGGATACAGACAGCAGTGTGGAAAGCAGCAATGTGTGATCCATCTGCTGTGCTCTGTGTCTGCATGGAGGAGCCGCACTGCAAAGCAGAATGCACAGCTATCACAGAAGGGTGTATGTATGAGAGAGCAGGCAGCTGATGCTGAGGAACAGATCTGCATTTGAACCAAAACATTTATCTTACACCCAGAACAAAGATGAACCACTGTAACACAAGTAGAACTTCTGTAGGTGACGGTGCTCAGAACCAAAACTCAGACAGCACTGCGTGCCACAACGCTGAAAGCCTTTCAGCTTTGCTCTCACAACCATACTTTAGAGCTGACTGATCTCTGCACTGTAAGTGGAACACAGTCCACACAATTGCTCTGTTGTCTGTAAGGTAAGGCACAATAGAGACAGTGAGCTGTTCTACCTTAAACCTTACAGCTCTTCCCATTCGGTGGTTAGCAGGTCATTGCCTGGCTTAATAAAGCTTCTAATTGAGCTGCAATTTACTTTGACTTTATAGAGCGATTAAAGCATCCTTAATCTTCATATGATTTTAGATCAACATCTCTTCAGTGAAAAAAAGCTTTTTTCCTTTGAGTTCTAGGACAACTGTCCTGTGAGCTGAGCTACCATTTCCCACAAAGGCAGGGTTCTGACTTCTAAAAACGCACGGCACTGCAGTGCTTGAAAGAGCGTCTCATACATAAAGATGTTTCCTGGGTGCTGGCAGGGAAACACAGTTGGACAATCCCAGTAGGCAAGTCTTATTACTAAAACTCTTACATTACCACGAATAATAATAATAATAACAATAATAAAGCAATGTAAGAGTTCTTAAATGCACAAAGGAGGAAAGAGCCTCCGACAACAGCAGCTACAAAGACCTGAGCAAGGAACCTAAATGAATAAAAAAGTCAATAATTGTACAGCCTTAACATGAGAGATTGGGCATCATCTTCTTTCTTTCTCCACGTACAGAACCATCACTCCCACAGGAGCACAACAGGACCCTCCTGAGGTGGTTTTTGCACTGTGAAGCCACCAGAACCAGAAAAGCTAAATGCAAAGAATGCCACCCAAAGAAAGCACAGCGTTTGGTCTTGAACAATCACCATAAACTCAGCAATGGGACAGATTGCCTCAGATATCAGCAGAAAAATATTGTTCAGCAAATTATTCTTGGCACAAACAACAAGGCCAGTAAATGCCCTGGGAGAAGGGAACTCCCTGATGGTGACACCCACTGTCAAAAGTATAAATAGAGAGTGCTGGGGATGAAAATTTACAGTCCTGAATCTTATCAGGCTGTGCACCTAAACTCGGGACTGTGGTTAGACTCCTGCCTGCTGCCAGTATGAGCTGTGGCACCAAATCCTCCTCCAGCACCACCAGGATCAGCAGCGGTGGCGGATGCGGCGGTGGTAGCGGCGGTGGAGGGGGCAGCAGCTGCGGCATCCGCAAGTCTGGGGGATACTCCTCCGTGTCCACCAGAAAATACACCTCCTCTGGAGGGAGCGGAGGCTTCTCTGGGAGAAGCTTTGGTGGAGGAGGCTCCAAGACCAGCTATGGCGGGGGGTTCAGCAGCGGCAGCTGCGGAAGGATTGGCCGCAGTAGCTATGGTGGGAGAATGAGCGGCGGCAGCTATGGAGGAGGAATGGGTGGAAGTATGGGAGGAGGATATGGATCGTGTGGAGGTGGCTTTGGGGGCATGGGAGGTGGTTACGGAGGAGGCAGCTTTGGTGGTGGCTCTGGTGGATACAGCGGAGGTGGATTCAGTGGCTTTGGGGGCAGCGGTGGCTTTGGTGGGGGTAGCTATGGTGGAGGCAGCTTTGGCGGAGCGGGATTTGGTGACGATTCTGGACTGCTCTCCACAAATGAAAAGCTGACCATGCAGAACCTTAATGACCGCCTGGCCTCCTACATGGATAAAGTACGAGGCTTGGAGGAAGAAAACGCTCACCTTGAACGTCTGATCAGGGAGTGGTACCAAAAGCAAGGTCCCACTGGTTCCAAGGACTACAGCCAATATTACCGAACAATTGAAGAACTGCAGAACCAGGTATGGTGCAATTTGGCAAACTTTGGGCAGAGTCTCATTAGAATGGCCTCACACGTGGTACACCACAATTTTCCTATTTGGGGCAATATATTCCTTTCTTTACTTGAGGCAGGATGCAGACAGCTGTGATGACAAAGCCTGACTCCCAGCTTTCGTTTGCTCTGGTTGATGTGTGTGCTGTGACACAGCAGCACCATTTGGTGCCCAGGGCTCCCTTCAATGTTGTGCCTTTGTTTGCTTTTCTCTCTCCTGAACAGGAGACAGAATCACTCTTTGCTTCTGTTGTGCTTCCAGTGGCCATCTAAATGGAATCTGTGATGCATAGGATGAGTTAATATGGGCCACAGCGGTCAGTCTCATTCCAGCTCTCAGCTGTTCCAGAGTCTCCCACTTTAATACTGATGCCAAATGCAAGGCTAATATTTCCACTGTTTTGGAAGTATGGAAAGCTTATTTTGTTATTATCCCAACAAAGAATAGCACTTCTGATGGATACCTATAAACTAGAATTGCAGCTGAGGCAGCAACCAGCGCTGATTCTACAGGAAGGCTCTCTTTTAGCTGGAAACAATAAACTCCTCTCTCTGTGCAGCCTCTGTAGACTGGGCAAGCTTGTCTCAGAGATGCTCTGGAATGTGTTAATGCACAGGGCTTTCTTCCCTCTGTTTGTGTGTCAGATTGAAAAGACAGCTGGCTGACCAGCATCTGCCCTCTCCCTTGCAGATTGTTGGTGCAAATGTGGACCTGAACAGGATGCTTCTTGACATTGACAACACCAGGATGACTGTGGATGACTTCAGACTGAAGTGAGTCTTTCCCTCCTTGTCTCATGTTGTCTTTGGTCCCTTTCCGACCACAAATTTGTATTGCCAGTCTTTGAGATACTGCAGTGTCTTGGCTCCAGCAGCAGAGAAGGCTGCTGTTGGGAAGAGCACTGTGAGCAGGACTTTGTGTTTTTCATTAGAATTTTGCTTCAGATAAGTTGTTGATGAGTGTTGTTTATAGGACAACATTCTGTTTCTCCATATTTGCTTTATAGGTTTATAAACTTTATCAGAGAAATCCTATAATTTCACTGAAACCAAACAATCCTACTGGAGAGGGAAAGAGAATCAGGTCCTTGCTTTTAAGCACAAACCAATGGGACCACTGACCAAAGGTGTACTGATGGGAACTGTGCATAATGAAGAGAGAAGAGAGCTCTGGCAGCAGTTTTACTTTTTTGTCTGTGATTTAGGTATGAGACTGAGTATACTCTCCACCAGAGCGTGGCAAGTGATATTAATGGATTACGTCCACTTTTGGATCAACTGACTCTATCCAGATCAGACTTGGAGACACAGTTTGAATCCCTGAAAGAGGAACTGATCTACCTTAAGAAGAACCATGAAGAGGTAAGTTTCTCTACATTTAAAATAACAACTAACAAAAATTATCACTCCAAGAATCTCCTGTGCATTTCTTCTGCTGGCAGCAATGAGACTTGGCTGCTGGGAGGATCTGTGTCCCTTCCTTTTCCTGTTTTTAAAGCTACAACATTTCTCCTCACCTTCAACCTTTCCAAGTTTTGTTTTCTTTTCTTTCTCATAGGAAATGAAAGGACTGCAAACACAGTCTGGTGGTGATGTCAATGTTGAGGTCAATGCTACTCCTGGCACTAATTTGATGGAAAAATTAAATGAAATGCGTTCTGAATATGAGCGGCTTATTGAGAACAACCGAAGAGAGGTGGAAAGCTGGTATGAAACCAAGGTAAAGCACGAGAATCTTTGGGTCAGTAAATCTTTTACAAAGATTCCATTTGCTCGCAGTAGGGCACAGGCAACTTATCAGGTATTATACAAGGGACTACTAAGTGATTTTGAGTATGGGAAAAGTGGAATCCCCGTGTTCCAACAGCAAGGTGAATGAAACATGGATTGGGTGTGGGTGAACAGAATGGCATGGGGGAAATCTACAGTCAGTCTACATTACATCTTTATTTATTCATATTCCTTGCTTCCTAAATGCCTTTATGATAACAATTTTTTAGATGGAAGAAGTTAATCAACAAGTCCATTCAAGCGGCCAGGAGATACAGTCCAGCAACCAACAGATCTCTGAGCTGAGACGTGAATACCAAAGCCTGGAAATCGAGCTGCAGTCGCAACTCAGCATGGTAAGTAAAGGTGGCTGCTTCTGCTTCCCCTGTAACACAGGCTGCAGGTGCCCTTAGAATGAAAGGAGGTTGGTTACAAGTAGCGCGTACCTTGTCTGTACAGAACGGGGTGCTGGACTGTATTACCAAAAACATGCTTCTCCCTGCTTGGTGCAGATCTCCCATTTTGTCACCAACACGAGTTCAGTTTGCCACGTTCCCACAAACACTGTACTGTTTCTTCCACTTGCAGGTAGACTCTTTGCAGTCCAACCTGGAGGACACAGAACGCCGCTACAACATGCAGCTGCAGCAGATCCAGGGCATGATTGGCCCCTTGGAGGAGGAGCTGGCCAGCATCCGCTGCGAGATGGAGAGCCAGAACGAGGAGTACAAGATGCTGCTGGGCATCAAGACCCGCCTGGAGCAGGAGATTGCTCAGTACCGGTCACTGCTCGAGGAAGGACAGCAAGACCTTGTGTACGTACACTGACAGCATTATGCAAAAGCCTAAATAGTCACAGAGACTGTAACAGTTTAGATTTGCAAAACAGGTTTTATACCAAAATGAGGATAATCAGCCTTTTAAACCAACCACCTCCCAGGTCTGAGGTACAATACATTTCTTGGCAAATCTATTCAGAATAGAAATTGTCTGAGAAAAATATCAGTACAAAAATTCTGAACTCCCAGCTTTGGGCTGGACAAGGGAACCCACGCATGTGGCCTCGCTTTTACCCCAGTGCCAGAAAAGGCCAGGAGTTCAGCAGATGGAAGTCACCTTGTATGGAGAAAACTTACAGGTTTCAGTTGTCTTTTGATCTGTGTGAGGTTCCAAAAGGAAAAGTACAGACAGGAGAAGTGCAAACTTGTGAGCAGTGCTTTTGAAAACAACAGTGCATCTGACTGACTTGTTATTTGTGTTTTCTCTCTTCACAGAATCCCGGCAGGAGGAATAGGAGGAGGAATGGGAGGAGGAGGAGGAATGGGAGGAGGAATGGGAGGCGGCAGAATAGGTGGTGGTGGTTTCTCTGGAGGAGGAAGAGGAGGAAGTGGTAGCATGTGTGGTGGAATGGGAGGAGGAATAGGAGGAGGAAGCGGAGGAATGGGAGGGGGAAGCGGAGGAAGCTGCATCATTGGCGGAGGAGGAAGCGGAGGAGGAGGAAGGACCTCAGGAGGCGTCAGCAGTTCCCACTCCTACTCTTCATCTTCCCAGTCTCAGTCATGCAGGGGCGGTGGTGAAAGCCAAGGTGAGAACTTTTTCATGGGCACAGCTTCCCCAGTCCCATTCTTACTAACTGATCCACTGTGCCAACATCCTCTCCTGCGGGCAAACAGTACCAAGAAAAAAAAGCACTTCTGGAAAGTGCTAGATTTTATGACAACATCTTTTGCATCTGTGTGCAAAGGACTGGTTCTGGTTAAGATACAGTTTCAGTTTTGGTTCAGTTTTGAGGATAATATCACCATGTCACGTAGTTAAAAACCTGGCTATAATTCTTTTCATACTGAGCTGAAGTTTTCCTTCATGCTTATGTTCATCTATCACATAACCAAGCTTCTTTGTTGCCACAGGTGGTGCCTCAACGATCAGCTGCCAGTGCTGACGAAGTTAATGCTTTCTTTATCTCCAAACAGGTTACGGAAGAAAATCCTTTGACTAAGAACTGAGGATTCTACAGTGCAAGACCTGTCAAAGAGAAATCGGCCCAACACCCCAGTATTCCTCAGGCTCCTGAGGAAGGAGATGCTCCTACCAGCTCCTCACTGCTGCTGCTCTGCCCAAAGGGTCCGTCAGAGCCGCTCTGACAGGCCAGCTGCTGTGCGTGCCACGCGCTGCCTCTGCATAGAATGCTTGGTGGGCTCAATCACTTGTACTTGAAATGCTTGCTTTAAAGATTCAACCAGTTTGTTATTTGGTTGTTCTGTATGAGAAAAACGTCCCTAATAAAACTTCATTTCTGTCTGATGCAACCAGAATCCCATGTCTACGATTTCTTTTTCCATTCTGCAAATGTAAACACTTAAAAAGAAAACAGAAAGCCATGCCAACACTTGCCTCCAGGCAGGAAGGCTGACGATGCACTGCAACTGCTGGTAATGAAATTTAGAGCTAAGGCTCTGTTCCTGAGCACCTGGGGCAGATTATAATCTTCTTGCAGCATCCTCTGCTGTGCCTTTGTTTTTCATGGAGCACTTGGTAGTGCAGCTGAGCTCTGACACTCGGCAGCAGCTGTGTCAGTCAGAGCAGACTGCAGAATGGCAGCACAGCCGGTAAAAGAGGCCTCAGATGAGCGTCCTCCTGACAGGGAGATGTGAACCATCACAGAACCAGGACTGTGAAACAAAAGCAAAGTTTCACTTTGTGGGTCAGAAAATCTTACCTGGCACTGATCAGTTTAAACTGGAAATGCACAAATGTGGTCTGCTTTTGAACTGAAGGAAAAAAAGAGGAAGAGAGGGAATATTACTCAAGGGGTCTTTAAGAAGATCCCTTCAAGTTAGTATTCACAGCAGTGTTTGCCTTCTAACTGTGCCAAATGAAGAACACATGAAAGTAACCAGAGTGTTTATTTTTAGTTATAGGAAGATCTGACTGTGAAGGACACTGCCACAAACTCTTCCACCCACATCCAGCCGTTACCTGCAGACACGGCTGGCCGCAGACGCCAAGGCAGCCCCACAGCCCACCCACCTGCAGCCCCCACTGCCTGCGGGCTGCGCTGCGGGAGCTGCGTCTGCACCTCCAGCTGAATGTGCTCCCTGTTTTTTCACATTCATTATTTCAAAGCAATTGTAGTACAGCTTTCTCAGCAACTGAGATAGTTTTGATCATCAAAACAAAACCGGCTTGTTTTACTGCAGCCCACCCCCAGGATAAAGCCCCCTTCCAGAGACTTGGCTGGAAAAACGATTTCTCCTGCATCCTAACAAACTCCGAGATCGAAGGAAACGAAGCACGCAGTGTTGGGCCCCCAGAGCAGTTGTGCACATTTCAGGAATCTCAGGAATTTCTGCATGATGCTTCAGAGGAGAGAGCACTGATAAAACACGCAGATCGTAAGCCAGGGCTTTATTGATTTATTTACTGTAATGAGAAGCAAGCACCAGAACTCGGAGCTGACTGAAGTCCCAGCCCGTGGCACAGCGCACCAGGCACTGCGAGCAGAAGCCGCTCTGGCCATGCAGTCCTCAGGGAAACTCATGGGCAGCACAGGGGCAGGCGCCGTACGGCTCCAACTGCATGTGGCCTTGCAACCTAAACTGTGGTGCAGGGCTGAGCTCAGGGAATGGCTTCCAGTGGTGAACAGACACAGACAATGTGCGTTTTGTGCAAGAGCAGCCAGCAGGACAGACTAAAGGCACAACATGGCGCCACTGCCTTCAGCAGAAAGCAGGAGGGAAGTCGGCCTGCTGTGCTTACAGAAAAAGAGCTGCACGTTGGTATGGGCAGGAGCTCCCCTGGTAGGAGCAGAGAGGAAACAGCAGAAAGTTCACAGTAATGTTCTCTGCCACGAGACGCAGTAACACAGTTTTTCAAAAGAATAATGTCTTCCAGTAAATGGAAACAGATTTTTAAATAGTTGGAGTCAATTCCAAACCCGGTACTGAACGAAGAGCCCCCTGGAGGTGGCTGCAGGCAGGAGACATTGTGTGCACCTGCAGAAGGAAGGCAGGAGCTGGAACGCCGAGTTTCACCACAGGGAAGGCCGAAGGAGACAGACAACCAAGGCGGAGCCTTCATTAACTTCCATTACGGGAGATATACTGTCAGATTAATAAAAGCTATGAGATATTATATTATCCAACAAAATATCTAACAAAGAGCCACCCACATGAAATTATAGTGCATGTGTGAATCAACACACACATACTTGAGTAGAACAGTAATGCGTATTACTTTCCTATGACAAAATTCCCCTTAGCACATCACTTTTGGCATGAGCGCTGTGGCTGGCAAACCCCATGGGAAGCGGCACTGCCTGGAGGTGACACCCACCCGGTGAGGTATAAAGAGCCCCGGCGAGGACAGGAGGCAGCGCTTCCACTTCTGCAGCAGGCTCGCAGCAGGCTTTGCTTTCGCGGCGCGACATCCACCTCTCACCATGAGCTGCAGCATCAAGAGGACATCCAGCACCTCGTACCGCAGCGGAGGCGGGGGGGGCATCTGCGCCGGTGCCGGCGGCAGGAGCTCCTCCGCCTCGTGCCGGCGATACGCCTCCTCCGTCATCGGCGGGGGCAGCTCCGCGGGGGCAGCGTGCGGCATCGGCTACGGCGGGGGCATGAGCGCCGGCAGCCTCGCCGGGGGCTTCTGCGGGGGCCTGGGAGGAGGCTTTGGGGGCGGCTTTGCGGGAAGCTTCGGCGCCGGGGGGGACGTGCTGCTGAGCGGCAACGAGAAGATCACCATGCAGAACCTCAACGACCGCCTGGCCTCCTACCTGGACAAGGTGCGAAGGCTGGAGGAGGACAACGCCCAGCTCGAGCTCCACATCCGCGAGTGGTACAGGAAACAAGCTCCCAGCGCCTCAAAGGACTACAGCTCCTACTACCAGACCATCGAGCAGCTCCAGAACCAGGTAGGGCAGCCCGCAGCGCGGCTCCATCTCCCGCACCAGCGCTGCCCAGAAGCTCTCGCTCCTTCCCGTTCCCTCCCACGACCTGGGGGAGCTGGGGGCCGCTCGCTGCTGTCCTGGTGCTGCTCGGCTGCCCCACACAGCCCTGCAGGGAACGGTTGAGCTCTGGGGGCACAGCCCGAGGATCCGCAGGGCCTCCTGCAGCCCAAGCATGCTGGAGCACATCGCTGAATCCCCACAGTTCCACACTTTCCATGCTGCTCCCATCCCACAAAGCCAAACAGCTGCACTGCAAGACCTGCAGTGCCTTTGGTTTTGCACACTCCCACACAAGTCAGTGAGAAGGATCAAGGCCTTCCCTTACAGCTATCTTATTCCAGTTCCAAGAAATTGCAGTAGTCAGACTAGGAAGGATCACATGGCAGGGAAAGGGATAAATGCAGTCCCCAGGAGTCATGGAGAACTATTTCCAACTTGACGAACAGCAGCATAGCCTGAGTTTCCTCGAAAAGCAAATTTGGAGCAC